TGGATCCCAGGATCACATCCTGGAATTTGGGATCCCATCCTGGACCCCGGGATCCCATCCTGGAATTTGGGATCACATCCTGGGGTTTGGGGTCCCATCCTGGATCCCAGGATCCCATCTTGGGGTTTGGGATCACGTCCTGGACCCCGGGATCCCATCCTGGATCCCGGGATCCCATCCTGGGGTTTGGGATCATGTCCTAGAATTTGGGATCCCATCCTGGAGTTTGGGATCCCATCCTGGATCCCCCTCATCCCTGATCCCGGCTCTCACACCCCGATCTCCCCCTTTTCCCTGGGAAAAGCTTCCCTGGAGCTGCCCCGTCCCTGCAGAGCTCCGGCGGCTCCGGCTGCTGCTGCCAAGGCAAACAAAATTCCCTGGGAATCCTCCCCCGCATTTCTTGGGGCCAAACTCCTCATTTCTGGGGCTTTCCCGCCTCCTTGGCACTGCTGGAATTTTTCCAGGAATTTTTCCAGGAGCTTTTCCAGCTCTTCTGTCCCCGGGAGCTGCAGGTGCCAAACCACGGCCGGGTTTGATTTTATTTTTTTCCCCTTCTGATTTTTCAGCTTTCCAGGGATTTTTTCGGACGTTTGTTTTTCCCCTTCGCTGTCGCTGCCCTCACGGCTGCCACGTGACCCCTCCCGAGCTGATGAGATTCCCAAACCTCCCAATTCCCAAACCTCCCAATTCCCAAATCTCCCAATTCCCAAACCTCCCGATTCCCAAACCTCCCAATTCCCAAATCTCCCAATTCCAAGGATTCCCCTGGAATTTCCAGGCTCCCCCCTCCTCTCCTCTCCCCTCCCTTCCATCCAAAACTTCTCCAAACTTTTCCCCCAGAACTTTTCTGGGATCTGGAACGGCCTTGGGACGTCGTCCCCCCTTCCCTGGAATTCCCCAAATCCACGGATCTCCCTCCTCCCTGCGCATTTCTCCCTCCTGAGATCTTCCTCCTCCTCCTCCTCCTCCTCCTCCTCCTCGCTCCCGAGGCGCCTCCAAAGCCCCTTTTGGGGGACATCCCAAATTTCCCTGGAACGTTCTCCAGCCCCGCTGGGCGCGGCCGCTCCTCCTGGAGCCGGCCCCAGCCTGGGCCTCTTTTCTTGGAAAAGCAGCGGAGCAGCTGCTCCCGGGAAGAGGAGCCCGGGGAACGTCGGGAGGGACGAGTCCATCCCGGAGCTTTTTGGGGTCGTTTTTTGGGGGAATTTGTGGCACCTGGAAAGTCCTGGAAGGGCCGGGAATGTCGGAGGGAGCTGCGGCCTGGATCCCGTCGGGGTTGGATTCGGTCCCAGAGGGATTTTTCCAGCCCCTGGTGAGCGGTGGGAGGAGGAACCTCCTCCTTTTTTCCATGGATTTCCTCCAAAAGCGGAGCTCAGGAGGCGTTGGAGGGCAGGGATCGTCCCAGGAACATTCCAGAGCTCGTTTGGGATCGGTTCCCTGATGTCACCACCAGATCTTCTGTGGATCTGCTCCAATGGGGACATTTGGGGACATTTGGGATCAATTCCATGATGCCTCCACCAGATCTTCTGTGGATCTGCTCTGATGGGGACATTCGGGGTTCGTTTGGGATCAATTCCATGATGTCACCACCAGGTCTCCCATGGATCCTCTCCAATGGGGACATTTTGGGGTTTATTTGGGATCTACTCCGTGATGTCACCAGATCTCCCATGGATCCTCTCCAGTGGGGACATTTGGGATCAATCCATGATGTCACCACCAGATCTTCTGTGGATCTTCTCCATTAGGGACATTTTGGGGTTCATTTGGGATCAATTCCGTGATGTCACCACCAGATCTTCTGTGGATCTGCTCTGATGGGGACATTTGGGGTTCGTTTGGGATCAATTCCATGATGTCACCACCAGATCTCCCATGGATCCTCTCCAATGGGGACATTTGGGATCAATTCCATGATGTCACCACCGGATCTTCTGTGGATCTGCTCTGATGGGGACATTTTGGGGTTCGTTTGGGATCAATTCCGTGATGCCGCCACCAGATCTTCTGTGGATCTGCTCCGATGGGGACATTTGGGGACATTTGGGATCAATTCCATGATGTCACCACCAGATCTCCCATGGATCCTCCCCAATGGGGACATTTTGGGGTTCATTTGGGATCCATTCCATGACATCACCACGTCTCCCATGGATCTGCTTCGAGGGGAACATTCCAGAGCTTGTTTGGGAACAGTTCCCTGATGTCACCACCAGATCTCCCGTGGATCTGCTCAAATGAGGACATTCCAGAGCTCATTTGGGATCATTCCATGATGCCACCAGATCTCCCATGGATCCTCTCCAATGGGGACACTTTGGGGTTTATTTGGGATCAATTCCGTGATGTCACCACCAAATCTCCCGTGGATCCTCTCCAGGACGATCCCGTGGATCTGGGTCAACCCCAGCTTTCCGTGGGAATTTATTTCGGGTGGATTGGAGAGGGAGGAGCTTCCATTTGCCCCCTTTTTTTGGTGGAATTTCCGTGTTTTTCTCCTTCCATCGCGCTTGGATTGGGTTTGGTTGGGTTGAGTTGCGTTGATTTGAGTTGGGTTTGATTTGAGTTTCGTTTGGTTGGGATTGATTTTGTTGTACTGGATTTGGTTTGGTTGGGTTTGGATGGATTGAGTTGGGTTTGGGTTCATTTTCGTTGAGTTGGGTTCAGTTGAGTTTTGTTGGGTTTGGTTTGGTTTGGATGGATTGAGTGGGGTTTGGTTGAGTTTGGTTTGCTTGGGATGAATTTGGTTGAGTTGGTTTGGGTTCCTTTTCATTGAGTTGGGTTGAGTTTTGTTGGGCTTGGTTTGGTTTGGTTTGGATGGATTGAGTTGGGTTTGGTTGAGTTGGTTTGGGTTCGTTTTCATTGGGTTGAGTTGGATTTGGTTGAGTTTGGTTTAGTTGGGATGAATTTGGTTGAGTTGGATTTGGTTTGGTTGAGTTGGTTTGAGTTTTGTTGTGTTGGGTTTCGATTGATTGAGTTGGGTTTGGTTGAGTTGGTTTGGGTTCGTTTTCACTGAGTTGGGTTGAGTTTTGTTGTGTTTGTTTGGATTTGATTTGCTTGGGTTTCGTTGAGTTGGGTTTGCTTGGATTTGGTTTGCTTGGGTTTGGTTGAGTTGATTTGGGTTCGTTTTCGTTGAGTTGGGTTTGGTTGAGTTGGTTTGGGTTTGTTTTTGTTGAGTTTTGTTGGGTTTGTTTGGATTTGATTTGCTTGGGTTTGGTTGAGTTGGTTTGGGTTCATTTTCACTGAGTTTGGTTGAGTTGGGTTGGGTTTGGCTGAGTTGGCTTTGGATGGATTGAGTTGGGTTTGGTTGAGTTGGGTTGGGTTCAGTTGGGCTTGGTTGGGTTAGGTTTGGTTGGGTTGGGTTAATTTTTGTTGAGTTGGGTTTTGTTGGGTTGAGTTGGGTTTGGTTGGGTTTTGTTGGGTTTGGTTTGGTTGGGTTGGGTTGGGTTTTGTTGAGTTGGGTTTGGTTGGGTTGAGCTGGGTTGGGTTTTATTGGGTTGGGTTGGGTTCATTTTTGTTGAGTTGGGTTGGGTTTGGTTGGGTTGGGTTGGGTTGGGTTGGGTTGGGCTCAGTTGGGTTCATTTTTGTTGAGTTGGGTTGGGTTCAGTTGGGTTGGGTTCAGTTGGGTTTGGTTGGGTTGGGTTGGGTTGGGTTGGGTTGGGCTCAGTTGGGTTCAGTTGGGTTTGGTTGGGTTGGGTTGGGTTGGGTTGGGTTGGGTTGGGTTGGGTTTGGTTTTGTTGTGTTGGGTTGGGTTGGAGGCCAAGTCACCGGTGACCACCCAACCACCGTCCCGGCCACTGGGTGGGAATTTTGGGGGCCATCGTTGGGTTTGAGATTAAACTCTGGGATTTTGGGAATCCTGGGGTTAAACTCTGGGATTTTTGGGAATGTTGGGGTTAAAATCTGGGATTTTTGGGAATCTTGGGGTTGTTCCCCATTTTTTGTGGCTCCATCTTGGCCACCTCTCCCTGGAGCGGGGATAACGGGGTCACAGAACAGGGATTTTGGGAATGTGGAACGGGAATTTTGGAAATGTGGAGCAGGGATTTTGGGAATGTGGAATGGGAATTTTGGGAATGTGGAATGGGAATTTTGTGAATGTGGAACAAGGATTTGTGGGAATGTGTAGCAGGGATTTTTTTGGAATGTGTAGCAGGGATTTTGGGAATGTGGAATGGGAATTTTAGGAATGTGAAACAGGGATTTTGGGAATGTGGAGCAGGGATTTTGGGAATGTGGAGCGGGAATTTTTGGGAATGTGGAACAAGGATTTGTGGGAATGTGTAGCAGGGATTTTTGGGAATGTGAAACAGGGATTTTGGGAATGTGGAGCAGGGATTTTTGGGAATGTGAAACAGGGATTTTGGGAATGTGGAGCAGGGATTTTTGGGAATGTGGAATGGGAATTTTAGGAATGTGAAACAGGGATTTCGGGAACATGGAGCAGGGATTTCGGGAATGTGGAGCAGGGATTTTTGGGGCTGTGGCTCCGTGCTGAAGCTCTCCCTGGAGCAGGGATTTTTGGGAATGTGAAACAGGGATTTTTGGGAATGTGGAGCAGGGATTTTTGGGAATGTGGAGCAGGGATTTTTGGGAATGTGGAGCAGGGATTTTTGGGAATATGCAGCAGGGATTTTTGGGGCTGTGGCTCCGTGCTGAAGCTCTCCCCGGAGCAGGGATTTTTGGGAATGTGGAGCAGGGATTTTGGGAATATGTAGCAGGGATTTTTGGGGCTGTGGCTCCGTGCTGAAGCTCTCCCCAGAGCAGGGATTTTGGGATCTCCCGCAGCTTTCCCGTTAAACCCCTTAGCAGCGATTATCCCCCGGACGCTGCCCCGGCCCTGAGCCCTCCCCGGGCCAGGCTGGCAAATCCGGCTCTAATCCGGGCTCAGGCTGTGCCAGGCCAAGCTCTGGGAGCGTTCCCAGCCTTCCCAGGGCCAAGGTTTTCCTGGGAATTCCCTCCTGGCTCTGCTGACCCCCGCTCTCCTCCGTGTTTTCCAGATGAGCCCGACCCCGCCCTCTCCGGAGCCGTCCCGGCCGCCGCTCACCGGACACAGCTCGGGTGAGTTCTGAGGGACGGAGCAGCCTGGGCCTGCCAGGCCCTCCCAGGCCACCCTGGAGCCAGCCCAGGCCATCCCAGTTCACCCTGGAGCCAGCCCAGGCCATCCCAGTTCACCCTGGAGCCAGCCCAGGCCCTCCCAGGTCACCTGGAGCCATCCCAGACCCTCCCAGGTCACCCTGGAGCCATTCCAGGCCTTCCCAGGCCACCCTGGAGCCAGCCCAGGCCTTCCCAGCCCATCCCAGAGTGATCCCAGGTCACCCTGGAGCCAGCCCAGGCCTTCCCAGTTCATCCTAGAGTGATCCCAGGCCACCCTGGAGCCAGCCCAGGCCATCCCAGGTCACCCTGGAGCCATCCCAGGCCTTCCCAGGCCACCCTGGAGCCAGCCCAGGCCATCCCAGTTCATCCTAGAGTGATCCCAGGCCATCCCAGGTCACCCTGGAGCCAGCCCAGGCCCTCCCAGGCCATCCCAGTTCACCCTGGAGCCAGCCCAGGCCCTCCCAGGCCATCCCAGGCCACCCTGGAGCCAGCCCAGGCCATCCCAGTTCATCCTAGAGCGATCCCAGGCCATCCCAGTTCACCCTGGAGCCATCCCAGTCCCTCCCAGGCCATCCCAGTTCCCCCTGGATCCATCCCAGTTCATCCTAGAGTGATCCCAGTTCACCCTGGAGCCAGCCCAGGCCCTCCCAGGCCATCCCAGGTCACCCTGAAGCCATCCCAGTCCGCACTGGAACCATTCCAGTCCCACCCAGGCCATCCCAGTTCCCCTGGATCCATCCCAGTTTCCTTTGGAGCCATCTCAGGTCACCCTGGAGTGATCCCAGTTCACACTGGTGTCATCCCAGTTCACCTTGGAGTGATCCCAGTTCCCCCCAGGTCATCCCAGGTCCCTTTGGAGCCATCCCAGGTCGCCCTGGAGCGATTCCAGTCCCCACCAGGCCACCCTGGAGTGATCCCAGTTCACCTGGATCCATCCCAGTTCCCCCTGGAGCCATCCCAGGTTACCCCAGGCCATCCCAGTTAACCCTGGAGTGATTCCAGTCCCCACCAGGCCACCCTGGAGTGATCCCAGTTCACCCTGGAGTGATTCCAGTTCACCCTGATCACATCCCAGTTCACCTGGATCCATTCCAGTTCCCCCTGGATCCATCCCAGTTCCCCCTGGAGCCATCCCAGTTCACCCTGGAGTGATTCCAGTCCCCACTGGATCCATCCCAGTTCCTTCCAGGCCATCCCAGTCCCCCCTGGATCCATCCCAGTCTCCCCTGGATCCATCCCAGTCACCCTGGAGTGATCCCAGTCCCCCCTGGAGCCATCCCAATCCCCCCTGGATCCATCCCAGTCCCCCCTGGATCCATCCCAGCTCCCCCTGGGGATATCCTGCTTGTCTTTTCCCAAAACCCCCGTTTTTCACCCCGGAATTCCCTTGCAGCCCGGTTCCCGAGGAGCAGCCGGCGTTCCCGCGGGCGCTGTTCCGGCCGCTGCCCGCGGCCGCGTCCTGGGGCGCGCGCCCGGCCCGAGGCACCGACCAAAGCACTTTAGAGCCGCGGCCCCGGCCCCGGCTACTCGCCGGGCAGCGCCGGCCACCGGCCCGAGACACCGGACAGCGGCCACTGGGTTGGGCCGCCAGACGGCCACCGACTCGGGCCACCGGACAGCGGCCACTGGGCCGAGCCGCTGGACTGGGCCGAGCCACCGGACGGCCACCGCGCCGAGCCACCGGACGGCCACCAGGCCGAGCCGCCGGACGATGGCCACCGGGCCGAGCCGCCGGACGGTCGCTGGGCCGAGGCAGCGGACGATGGCCACCGGGCCGAGCCGCCAGACGGTCGCTGGGCCGAGGGCGCCGGACGATGGCCACCGGGCCGAGGCGCCGCCGTCCCCGGAGGAGAAGCACCCGCAGAAGGAACCAAAGCACCCGGAAGGGCTCGGGGGCGTCCAGCGGCTGGAGTGGATCTCCAGGAGCCCCAGCCCGTCCTTCCAGGCGCCGGACGCGCCCGGCTCGGCCTCGGGCCGGGAAGCGGCGCCGGCGTCGCGCAGAGCCAAAGCCAAAACCGCGGAGAGCGGCCGGCGCAAGGCCGAGCCGGCCGCCGCGGCCGAGTGGACGCTGCCCAAGCTGGACGTGGTGGTGGCCAAGCAGTCGTGGACGGTGAACGCCGAGGACTCGGTGGAGCGGCTGCTGCCGGAGGCGGGCGCGGAGGCGCGGCCGTACGTGTGCGGGGGTGCTGCTGGAGGAGCCGCCCAAGGACGAGGAGCTGGAGCAGGAGGAGAGCCCGCCGAGCGTCTTCACCTGCATCGAGTGCAGCATCTACTTCCGCCGCAAGGAGCACCTGCTGGAGCACATGCTGCAGCACACCCGCAGCGCCGACGCGCCCGCCTGCCGCTTCTGCTGCGGCGAGTGCGGCTGGGCCTTCGCCGAGCCCGCGGCGCTGGAGCGGCACAGGAGGCTCCACCAGGAGTCCCGCGAGAAGATCATCGAGGAGATCCAGAAGCTGAACGAGTTCCCGGACGAGGGGCGCGAGGCGCGGCTGCAGTGCCCCAAATGCGTTTTCGGCACCAACTCCTCCAAGATCTTCGTGCAGCACGCCAAGATGCACGTCAAGGAGAGGAAGGAGAGCGCCTCGAGGAGCTCCAACCTCTTCGGGGACGGCGCCGGGCACGGCCTCTACAAACCCTTCCAAGCCGAGGAGCTGCCGGCGGCGCCGTCCGGCAAAGCGCCGAGCGCCTGCGTCCTCTGCGGCTTCCCGGCGCCCACCGAGCACATCCTCAAGGAGCACCTGAGATACGCCCACTCCCACTTCCCCTGGCAGCCCGAGGGCTTCGAGGAGGACCCCAACCAGCCCGGCACCTCCCGCGGCTCCTACAGCCCCACCCGGCCCGGGCCGCTTCGCCGACGCCGAGGCTTTCGGCAAAACCGAGAGGAGCTTCTCGGAGCGGCTCCTGCCGGGAGCTTCTTCCATCTACGACCCCACCCCGGCCACCTTTGGTCACCCCAGGTTGGACAAGAGCCACCAAGGAGCCACCAAGAAGGAGCTTCACGGGTTCCAGCACGCCAGGAAGGCGGCGCCGTACTCCCACCAGAGTCTGGCCTCGGCCGGGTTCTCCTCGCCCAAAGGCTTCTCGCACTCGGCGCTGCAGCAGCTGAGGAAGAGAGCGGCCACCCCGCAGCTGGAGGGGGACGGGGACAACCCCCGCGGCCACCACCCGGCGCTGGAGGAGCTGCGGCACAGGTGGGCGGGTGGAGGAGGCGGAGCCGGGGGACGCCAGGGCCGCCGGCGGCGCCGTCACCGTGCCCCGGGCCGCGCTGGAGCTCAAGAGGACCTTCAGGGCCACCCTGAGGGCCACGGACCCGGCGGTGGCCTCGGAGGAGCAGCGGCAGCAGCTGAGGATGACGGTGCCCGTGGTGGTGCTGGAGGAGATGAGCGCCCACCCCAGGGCGACCAAGAGGCCGCGGGGGAAGCCCCTCAAGAAGAAGCTTCTCCCACCACGGGGCGAGTTCCTGCTGGAGGAGCCTCCCCTCCCCTTGGACGTTCTGCTGCTGGACGCGCCCCTGGAGGGTCCCCTGGAGCTGGAGGAGCTGCTGGACTCGGAGGCCACCATGCTGAAGAACGAGGAGAGGAAATGTCCCTACTGCCCCGACCGCTTCCACAACGGCATCGGCCTGGCCAACCACGTGCGCGGCCACCTCAACCGCGTCGGCGTCAGCTACAACGTGCGGCACTTCATCTCCGCCGAGGAGGTCAAGGCCATCGAGCAGAAGTTCTCCTTCCAGAAGAAGAAGAAAAAAGGTAGTTTGTACCAAATTCCTGGTTCTCGAGAGGCCAACCGGGAGGGATTCTGCTCCCACCTGGCAGGGGGGAATCTGGGGTTTGGGGGGGCTAAAAGGCCGGAGGACTTGGTGGGCATGGTGGGCACAAACCCACCTGGACATGAGGTCTTGGTGGCCACGAACCCACCTGGACATCTGACATGGGGTCTTGGTGGGCATGGTGGGCACAAACCATCCTGGACATCTGACATGAGGTCTTGGTGGTCACAAACCCACCTGGACATCTCACCTGAGCTCTTGGTGGTCTTCATGGCTACAAACCCAGTTGGACATCTGACCTGAGGTCTTGGTGGCCATGGTGGCTACAAACCCACCTGGACATCTGACCTGAGCTCTTGGTGGTCTTCATGGCTACAAACCCACCTGGACATCTGACCTGAGATCTTGGTGGGCATGGTGGTCACAAACCCACCTGGACATGAGGTCTTGGTGGCCACAAACCCACCTGGATATGAGGTCTTGGTGGTCACAAACCCACCTGGACATCTGACCTGAGCTCTTGGTGGTCCTGGTGGTCACAAACCCACCTGGACATCTGACCTGAGCTCTTGGTGGGCATGGTGGTCACAAACCATCCTGGACATCTGACCACAGGTCTTGGTGGCCATGGTGGCCACAAACCCACCTGGACATCTGACCACAGGTTTTGGTGGGCATGGTGGTTACAAACCCACCTGGATATGAGGTCTTGGTGGCTACAAACCCACCTGGACATCTGACCTGAGCCCTTGGTGGCCATGGTGGCTACAAACCACCCTGTGATATCTGACCTGAGCTCTTGGTGGCCATGGTGGTCACAAACCATCCTGGACATCTGACCACATGTCTTGGTGGCCATGGTGGCTACAAACCCACCTGGACATCTGACCTGAGCTCTTGGTGGGCATGGTGGCTACAAACCACCCTGAGATATCTGACCTGAGATCTTGGTGGGCATGGTGGTCAGAGACCCACCTGGACATCTCACCTGAGGTCTTGGTGGTCCTGGTGGTCACAAACCCACCTGGACATCTGACCACAGGTCTTGGTGGGCATGGTGGCTACAAACCCACCTGGACATGAGGTCTTGGTGGCCACAAACCCACCTGGAAATCTGACCTGAGCTCTTGGTGGTCCTGGTGGTCACAAACCATCCTGGACATCTGACCTGAGCTCTTGGTGGGCATGTGGTCACAAACCCACCTGGATATCTAACATGAGATCTTGGTGGCTACAAACCCACCTGGACATCTGACCTGAGCTCTTGGTGGGCATGGTGGCTACAAACCACCCTGGACATCTGACCTGAGATCTTGGTTTTCATTGCTACAAACCCACCTGGACATCTGACCTGAGCTCTTGGTGGCCACAAACCCACCTGGACATCTGACCTGAGCTCTTGGTGGTCCTGGTGGTCACAAACCCACCTGGACATCTGACCTGAGCTCTTGGTGGTCCTGGTGGTCACAAACCCACCCTGGACATCTGACCTGAGCTCTTGGTGGCTACAAACCCACCTGGACATCTGACCTGAGGTCTTGGTGGCCATGGTGGCTACAAACCCACCTGGACATCTGACCTGGGGTGGATTTTAGGTGTTTTTCGGTGTTTCTGGGTGGGTTTTTTGGGGTTCCTCATGGGGTTTTTTTTTGTGATTTTTGGGTTCCTGGTGGTTCCTGGTGGCCCTGACCCCACCTCTCCTCCCCTTTGCAGTGGCCAACTTTGACCCGGGCACGTTCAGCCTGATGGGGTGGATTTTGGGGGTATTTTTTGGGTTTTTGGGTTCCTAGTGGGTTTTTTTGGGGTTTTTTGGTGAGGTTTTTGGGTTCCTGATGGTTTTTTTGGGGATTTTTGGGTTCCTGGTGGTTCCTGGTGTCCCTGACCCCACCTCTCCTCCCCTTTGCAGTGGCCAACTTTGACCCGGGCACGTTCAGCCTGATGGGGTCAATTTTGGGGGTATTTTTTGGGTTTTGTGTTCCTGATGAGTTTTTTGGGTTCCTGATGGGTTTTTTGGGGTTTTTGGGTTCCTGGTGTCCCTGACCCCACCTCTCCTCCCCTTTGCAGTGGCCAACTTTGACTCGGGCACGTTCAGCCTGATGGGGGTGGATTTTGGGGGTATTTTTTGGGTTTTTGGGTTCCTAGTGGGTTTTTTGGGGTTTTTTGGTGGGGTTTCTGGGTTCCTGATGGTTTTTTTTGGGGATTTTTGGGTTCCTGATGGGTTTTTTTTGGGGTTTTTGGGTTCCTAGTGTCCCTGACCCCACCTCTCCTCCCGTTTGCAGTGGCCAACTTTGACCCGGGCACGTTCAGCCTGAGTTCTGCGGGGCGGGGTTCGACACGAGGGCGGGGCTCTCGAGCCACGCCCGCGCCCACCTGCGCGACTTCGGCATCACCAACTGGGAGCTCACCGTGTCCCCCATCCACATCCTCAAGGAGCTCCTGGCCACCGCCCCCGAGCCACCCGGCGCTGCTGCGCGCCATGGGGCCCCTCGCCGGGACGGGACCTGCACCGCGACCTGCACCGCGACCTGCACCAGGGCCTGCACCAGGGCCTGCACCAGGGCCTGCACCAGGGGCTCCACAGGGGCTCCACCATGAACTGCACCAGGATCTCCACCAGGATCTGCACCAGGATCTGCACCAGGATCTGCATCAGGATCTGCATCAGGATCTGCACCACCAGGATCTCCATCATCAGGATCTCCACCACCAGGATCTCCACCACCCAGGATCTCCACCGGGATCTGCCCCAAATCGGCGCCGTTCCCGCTGCCCTGGGGGGACGAGGTCCTGCAGCCCTACAGGGATGGTGAGAGACCCCCAAAAATGGGGAAAAAATTGGGATTTTGGGAAAGTTTTGGGATCCGTTTGGGGTTTGGGTTTTTGGGATCTGCCCAAAACCGCTGCCCTGGGAGGACGAGGTCCTGCAGCCCTACAGGGATGGTGAGAGACCCCAAAAATGGCGAAAAATCAGGATTTTGGGGCAGTTTTGGGATCCGTTTGGGGTTTTGGGGATCTGTTTGGGGTTTGGGTTTTTGGGATCTGCCCAAACCGCTGCCCTGGGGGGGACGAGGTCCTGCAAGCCCTACAGGGATGGTGAGAGACCCCCAAAAATGGGGAAAAAATTGGGATTTTGGGGCAGTTTTGGTGGTTTTGGGATCTGTTTGGGGGTTGGGTTTTGAGATGAGTTTTTGGAGTCAGATTTTGGGGATTGTTTGGGATAAATCTGGTGGTTTTGGGGTTTTTGGGATCCGCCAAAATCGGCGCCGTTCCCGCTGCCCTGGGGGGACGAGGTCCTGCAGCCCTATAGGGATGTGAGAGACCCCAAAAATGGGGAAAAAATTGGGATTTTGGGTGGGTTTGGGATCCATTTAGGGTTTGGGTTTTGATTTGGATTTGGGGACGAGTTTTTGGAGATTTTTTTGGGATAAATTTGGTGGTTTTGGGGTTTTTGGGATCTGCCGGAATCGGTGCTGTTCCTGCTGCCTGCAGCCCTACAGGGATGGTGAGAGATCCCAAAAATGGGGAAAAATTGGGAAAAAATGGCAAAAAAATTGGGTTCCCACTTTTGGGATGAATTTGGAGTTTGGGGTTTGATTTAGGGTTTGGGTTTTGGGATGAGTTTTTGGGGATTTTTGGGGATAAATGTGGAGGTTTTGGGGTGCTTTGGGATCGATTTTGAGTTTGGGTTTTGGGATGAGTTTTTGGTGTCAGATTTTGGGGATTTTTGTTGGAAAAGGGTCGGGAATTCTGCAGGATCAGCACAGGATGGAGCTTGGGGTGGTTTTGGTGGTTTTGGGGTTTTTGGGATCCGTTTGGGGTTTGGGTTTTTGGGATCTGCCCAAATCGGCGCCGTTCCCGCTGCCCTGGGGGGACGAGGTCCTGCAGCCCTACAGGGATGGTGAGAGACCCCAAAAATGGGGAAAAATTGGGATTTTGGGGCAGTTTTGGGATGAATTTGGAGTTTGGGTTTTGGGTTTGGGCTTTGGGGTGAGTTTTTTGGAGATTTTTTGGGATAAATTTGGTGGTTTTGGGGTTTTTGGGATCTGCCCAAATCGGCGCCGTTCCCGCTGCCCTGGGGGGACGAGGTCCTGCAGCCCTACAGGGATGGTGAGAGACCCCAAAAATGGGGAAAAATTGGGATTTTGGGGTGGGTTTGGGATCCATTTAGGGTTTGGGTTTTGATTTGGATTTGGGGGACGAGTTTTTGGAGATTTTTTGGGATAAATTTGGTGGTTTTGGGGTTTTTGGGATCTGCCGGAATCGGCGCCGTTCCCCGCTGCCTGCAGCCCTACAGGGATGGTGAGAGACCCCAAAAATGGGGAAAAATTGGGATTTTGGGTGGTTTTGGGATCATTTTGGGCTTTGGGATTTTGGGATGAGTTCTTGGAGATTTTTTGGGATAAATTTGGTGGTTTTGGGGGTTTAGGATAAATTTGGGATTTTGGGTTTCAAGGAGCTTGGTGCCCTCAGGGATCTCATCAGGGCTTTGGATTTTGGGGATTTTTGGGATAAATTTGGGGGTTTTGAGGTGATTTGGGATCCATCTGGGGTTTGGGTTTTGGGATGAGTTTTTGGAGTCAGATTTTGGGAATTTTTAGGGATGAATTTGGGGATTTTTGGCGTTTTAGGATAAATTTGGGATTTTGGGTTCAAGGAGCTTGGTGCCCTCAGGGATCTCATCCAGGGCTTGGGATTTTGGGGATTTTTGGGGATAAATGTGGAGATTTTGGGGTGTTTTGGGATCGATTTTGGGTTTGGGTTTTGGGATGAGTTTTTGGAGTCACATTTTGGGGATTATTTTGGGATAAATTGTGTGGGTTTTTGGGGTTTTGGGATCAATTTGGGATTTGGGGCTGGAGGAGGAGCTCGGTGTCCGGAGCTCGGTGTCCTCAGGGCTTTAAATTTTGGGGATTATTTTGGGATGAATTTGGGTTTGGGGGCTGAAGGAGGAGCCCCTCTGGATCCATGGTTTGGGATTTTGGGGATTTGCCATTGGAAATCCAGGGTATTTGAGTTCCAAACCCACAAAATCTGGGATATTTGAATCCCCAAATCCACAATATCTGGGATATTTCCAATTCCCAAACCGAAATCCCCCTGAAAATCCCCCAAATTTCCCCTTTCCCCTCTCAAAGTCCTCCTTTTCCCCCCCAGTTTTCCCTTTTTCTCCTCAAAATTCCCAAAAATTCCCACTTTTTCCCCCAAAATTTCTCTTTCCCCCCCAAATTCCTCCCATTTCCCCCAAAGTTCCCCAGTTTCCTCCCAAGTTCCCCTTTTTTCCCCAAAAAATTCCCAAATTCCCCAATTTCTCCCCAAAATCCCCAAAATTCCCCTCTCTCCCCAAAATTCCAGTTTTCCCCCAAATACCTCCAAAAATCCCCGAAATTCCCCTTTCCCCCCCAAAATCCCCCAATTTCCAGAAATAATGCCCAAATTTCCCCCAAAATTCCCCTAAATTCCCACCCAAATCCCCCAATTTCTCCCCAGAATTCCCAAAATTCCCCCTTTTTCCCCCCAATTTTCCCCAAAATCCCTTAATTTCCCCCCAAAATTCCCCTTTTCCCCCCTTTTTCCCCCCTTTTTTCCCCCAAAATCCCCCAATTTCCCCCCAGAATTCCCAAATTTCCCCTTTTTTTTCCCCAACATTTCCCCCAAGCTCTCTCCCCCCCCGCCCGCCCCAAGCTCCCCGCTCGGCGCTCGGCCGCTCTCCCCTGGCCGCTCGCGCCTCTCTCTCGGCGCTCGGCCGTGCGGCCTGGCGGGCGCCCCGCGTGCGCCGTGCCCAAGATGGCGGCCTCCACCTCGGCCTCGGCCGCCGCCTCCCCGCCGCCCAAAGTCACCAAAGCGGCGGCGGCTCCGCGGCCCCGCGACCGCGACCGCGGCGGGGACGGCGACCCCGAGCCCCCGGCCGCGCCCGAGCCGGGTGAGCGCCCCTTTCCCACCCCCGCCGGCCCCGCCCCGCCAAGCCCGGGCCCACCCGCGCCCCCCCCCCCCCCCCGCCCCCCCCCCAATTCCCCTCACCGCCCCCGGGGCCCCCTCACGGATCCGCCCCGCTCCGGGCCCGGTTCGGCCGGGCCGAGGCTCCGCGGGAGGGCGGCGGGAGAGCCCAGCGGGGCTCCGGGAGGCCGCGGCCGAGGAGCCGCCGCCCTCCTTTGTCCCGGCCCCGGCCCCGCTTTGTCCCCGCGGGACCCCCGGGATGCGCTCCCGGCACGGGCCCGGCGCCGCCGGGGGCTCCGAACCGACCCGACCCGAACCGGGGCTGCTCGGGGCTGCTCGGGGATGGTGGGGCCTGGGTCGGGCAGCCCGGTTCGGTTCGGACAGCCCGGTTCGGTTCGGACAGCCCGGTTCGGTTCGGGCAGCCCGGGTCGGGTCGGGGCTCCTGGCCCGGGGGAGGCGGGGGTGGCCCGGTGCGGTCAGGCCGAGCCCCGGGATGTCCCCAAGGGCCCTGCGGTGTCCCCAGCCCTGTCACTGAGAGCCCCAGGCCGGTCCCCGGGGTGTCCCCAGTTCTGTCACCGAGCAGCTCCCGGGATGTCCCCAGTGCTGGCACCGGGATGTCCCCAGGCCAGCCCCCGGGGTGTCCCCAGCTTGGAGCTCCCGGGATGTCCCCAGTGCTGTCACCGGGGTGTCCCCAGCCCTGTCACCAAGCATCTCCTGGCATGTCCCCCATCGCTGTCACTGGGAGCCCCAGGATGTCCCCAGCTGTGTCACCCTGGTGTGTCCCAGCCTGGTCACTGAGCAGCTCCCAGGGTGTCCCCAGCCTTGTCCCCACAAGCAGCTCCTGGGATGTCCCCAGGCTGGTGCCCAGGATGTCCCCAGCAAGCCTAGGATGTCCCCAGGGTGTCCCCAGCCCTGTCACTGGGATGTCCCCAGCCCTGTCCCCAGGTGCTCTCAGATGTCCCCAGCCTGGTGCTCCCAGGATGTCCCCAGCCCTGTCACCAAGGGGCTCAGGGATGTCCCCAGCCCTGTCACCAAGGTCTCAGGGATGTCCCCAGCCCTGTCACCGAGGGGCTCAGGGATGTCCCCAGCCCTGTCACCAAGGGCTCAGGGATGTCCCCAGCCCTGTCACCAGGAGCTCTGGGATGTCCTTAGCCTGGAGCTCCCAGGGTGTCCCCAGCCCTGTCACCAGGTGCTCTCGGATGTCCCCAGCTTGGTGCTCCCAGGATGTCCCTGTCACCAAAGGCTCAGGGATGTCCCCAGCCCTGTCACCAAGGGGCTCAGGGATGTCCCCAGCCCTGTCACCAAGAGGCTCAGGGATGTCCCCAGCCCTGTCACCAAGAGGCTCAAGGGATGTCCCCAGCCCTGTCACCGAGGGGCTCAGGGATGTCCCCAGCCCTGTCACCAGGAGCTCTGGGTTGTCCTTAGCCTGGAGCTCCCAGGGTGTCCCCAGCCCTGTCACTGAGAGGCTCCTGGGATGTCCCCAAAAGCCCTGGGGTGTCCCCAGCCCTGTCACTGAGCAGCTCCCGGGATGTCCCCAGGCTGGTCCCCAGCCCTGTCACTGAAGGGCTCAGGGATGTCCCCAGGCTGGTCCCCAGCCCTGTCACCAGGAGCTCTAGGATGTCCCCAGCCCTGTCCCCTCCCTCACCCTGTCCCACCTGTGCTGGGACTGTCCCTGTCCCTGTCCCCTTCCCCTTAGGGACCTGTCACCTCTGAGCGTCCCCTCCCCTTTAGGACCTGTCCCTGTCCCTGTCCCTGTCCCACCTGTGCTGGGAGCTGTCCCTGTCCCTGTCCCCTCCCCTTTAGGACCTGTCCCTGTCCTGTCCCTGTCCCCTCCCCTTTAGGATCTGTCACCTCTCACTGTCCCCTCCTCTATAGGACCTGTCACCTCTCACTGTCCCGCCTGTGCTGGGAGCTGTCCCTGTCCCTGTCCCCCTCCCCTTAGGGACCTGTCACCTCTCAGTGTCCCCTCCCTGCAGGGACCTGTCCCTGTCCCTGTCCCTGTCCCCTCCCCTTTAGGATCTGTCACCTCTCAGTGTCCCCTCCTCTTTAGGACCTGTCACCTCTCACTGTCCCCGCCTGTGCTGGGACCTGTCCCTGTCCCTGTCCCCCTGCCCTTTAGGACCTGTCACCGTCCCTGGTCCCGCCTGTGCTGGGAGCTGTCCCTGTCCCTGTCCCCCTCCCCTTTAGGACCTGTCCCTGTCCCTGTCCCGCCTGTGCTGGGAGCTGTCCCTGTCCCTGTCCCCTCCCCTTTAGGACCTGTCCCTGTCCCTGTCCCGCCTGTGCTGGGAGCTGTCCCTGTCCCTGTCCCCTCCCCTTTAGGACCTGTCCCTGTCCCTGTCCCGCCTGTGCTGGGAGCTGTCCCTGTCCCTGTGCTGTCCCCCTTAGGGATCTGTCACCTCTCAGTGTCCCCTCCCTGCTGGGAGATGCCACCACCCTTGTCCTGCCCCCTTGGGGACCTGTCACCTCTCTGGTGTCCCCTCCCTGCAGGGCTTTGTCACCTTCTGTGTCCCCTCCCTGCAGGGAGGTGCCACCACCTCTGTCCCTGTCCCCTCCCCTCAGGGACCTGTCACCTTCTCTGTGTCCCCTCCCCTTGGGGACCTGCCACTGTCCCTGTCCCCTCCCCTTGGGGACCTGTCCCCACCCCTGTCCCCTCCCCTTGGGGACCTGACACCTCTCAGTGTCCCCTCCCTGCAGGGAGATGCCACCACCCTTGTCCTGTCCCCTTAGGGACCTGTCACCTCTCTGTGTCCCCTCCCTGTTCTGTCCCTGATGCCACCACCCTGTCCCCTCCCCTTTGGGACCTGTCACCTCTCCCTGTCCCCTCCCCTTGGGATCTGTCACCTCTCAGTGTCCCCTCCCTGCAGGGAGATGCCACCATCCCTGTCCCCTCCCTGATGCCACCACCCTTTAGGATCTGTCACTTTCTGTGTCCCCTCCCCTTTGGGACCTGTCACCTCTCCCTGTCCCCTCCCCTTTGGGATCTGTCACCTCTCAGTGTCCCCTCCCTGCAGGGAGATGCCACCATCCCTGTCCCCTCCCTGATGCCACCACCCTGTCCCCTCCCCTCTAGGATCTGTCACTTTCTGTGTCCCCTCCCCTTGGGGACCTGTCCCCGTCCCTGTCCCCTCCCCTTGGGGACCTGTCCCCATCCCTGTCCTGCCCCCTGCTGGGATTTGTCACCTTCTATGTCCCCTCCCCTTAAGGAGCTGCCACCACCCTGTCCCCTCCCCTGTGCTGTCCCCTTCGGGAGCTGGCGCCTCTCTGGTGGCACCGCCACTGGCCCTGTCCCCTCCTGGCTCTGTCCTGTCACTTGTGGGGAGATGCCACCACCCCTGTCCTGTCCTGTCCCTGTGCCACCACCCCTGTCCTGTCCCTGTCCCTGTCCTGTCCTGTCCCTGTGCCACCACCCCTGTCCTGTCCTGTCCCCTGTCCCTGTCCTGTCCCTGTGCCACCACCCCTGTCCTGTCCTGTCCTGTCCTGTCCCTGTCCCTGTCCTGTCCTGTCCTGTCCTGTCCTTCCCTGTCCCTGTCCTGTCCTGTCCCCTGTACCTGTCCCTGTCCTGTACCTGTCCCTGTCCTGTCCTGTCCCCTGTCCCTGTCCTGTCCCTGTGCCACCACCCCTGTCCTGTCCCTGTGCCACCACCCCTGTCCTGTCCCCTGTCCCCTGTCCCTGTCCTGCCCCTGTCCCTGTGTCACCACCCCTGTCCTGTCCCCTGTCCCTGTCCTGTCCTGTCCTGTCCCCTGTCCCTGTCCTGTCCCTGTGCCACCACCCCTGTCCCTGTGCCACCACCCCAGTCCTGTCACCTGCGGGGACCTGGCACCATCCCTGTCCCCTGCCACTGTCCCTGTCCTGTCACCTGCAGGGACCTGGCGCTGTCCCTGTCCTCAAACCCCCTCAGGAACCCCCCAAATCCCACCTGGAACCCCCCAAATCCCCTCTGGAACCCCCCAAACCCCCTCAGGAACCCCCCAAATCCCCTCTGGAACCCGCCAAACCCCTTCAGGACACCCCCAAATCCCCTCTGGAACCCGCCAAACCCCTTCAGGACACCCCCAAATCCCCTCTGGAACCCCCAGATTCCACCTGGAACCCCCCAGATTCCACCTGGAAGACCCCAAACCCCCTCTGGACCCCCCAAATCCCCTCTGGGGACCCCCCAGACCCCGTCAGGACCCCCCCCAAAGCCTCTCAGGACCCCCCCCAAACCCCCTCAGGCTCCCTCAAATCCCCTCAGGACCCCCCAGACCCCCTCAGGACACCCCAGATCCCCTCTGGACCCCCCAAATTCCCCCCTTAACTCCCAAAATCCCCTCAGGATCCTCCAAACCCCCTCAGGACCCCCCTGGACCCCCTCAGGACCCCCCTGGACCCCCTCAGGACCCCCAAAATCCCACCTGGACCACCCCAAATCCCCTCTGGACCCCCAAATCCCACCTGAAACACCCCAAATCCCACCTGAATCACCCCAAACCCCCTCAGGCCCCCCCAAACCCCCTCAGGACCCCCCCAGACCCCCTCAGGACCCCCCAAACCCACTCACGACCCCCCCAAATCCCCTCTGGACCCCCCAAATCCCACCTGAAACACCCCAAATCACACCTGAATCACCCCAAATCCCCTCAGGACCCCCCTGGACCCCCTCAGGACCCCCCAAATTCCCCCCTTAACTCCTGAAACCCCCTCTGGAACACCCCAAATCCCCTCTGGACCCCCCAATCCCCTCTGGACCCCCCCAGATCCCACATGGAACATCCCAAACCCCCTCAGGCCCCCCCCCCAAATCCCCTCTGGACCCCCCAAATCCCACCTGAATCACCCCAAATCCCCTCTGGACCCCCCAAATCCCACCTGGACCCCCCCAAACCCCCTCAGGACCCCCCAAACCCCCTCTGGAACCCCCAAATCCCACCTGAATCACCCCAAATCCCCTCAGGAACCCCCCAAACCCCCTCAGGACCCCCCAAATCCCCTCAGGACGCCCCCAAATGCCCCAATCCCTGATCCCCAGCCGCTCCCCGCAGTTCTGGCTCCTGACGAGGACGAGTTGGTGGCCATGGAAGTGACGTCCCCTCCCCCCATCCCCAAAAAATCCTCGAGCTCGGCGCTGGAGCCGCCCCCGCCCCGCCTCGGGACCAAGCTCAGCCCGGAGCCCCCCGGCAGCAAAGCCGAGCCCCAGGACGCCAAAGGTGAGGATTTTCCTGAGGTTTTCCCGGTTTTTCCCTTTTTTTCCCGTTTTTTTCCCGTTTTTTTCCCGGTTTTTCCCGGTTTTTTCCCAAAATTTTCCCAATTTCTCCCGGGTTTGGGGCACTCCGGCCCCGCCCACGGGGTTCTTTAGGGGTTAATTAACGCGGGAGTTAACGAGGTGGGAATTGTCCTGCTTGGGCTGGGAGGGGTTGGAGTTTTTTGGGATTTACTCCCAAGCTTTCCTCCTCGTTCTCCTCGCTCTAAAATTGGATTTATTCTGTTTTTTTTTTTCCTGTTTTTCCCCCATTTTCCAGCCTGACTACTTGTGAGGTGTGCAGCACCTGCTCTGATCCCAAAATTGGGGCTGGGAGGGGTTGGAATTTTTTGGGATCAGCTTCCAGGGTTCCCCTCCTTAATCCATCCTCATTCTCCTCATTCCAAGATTTGATTTATCCCGATTTTTCCCATTTTTTCCCAGTTTTTCCCCATTTCCCAGCCTGACCATGTGTGATGTGTGCAGCACCTGCTCTGATCCCAAAACTGAGGCTGGGAGCATCAAAATTCTTTGGGATCGGCTCCCAGCGTTCCCCTCTTTTCATCCCTCATTTCCCTCACTCTGAAATTGGATTTTTCCTCTTTTTTTTTCCATTTTTCCCCCATTTTCAGCCCCCAGCCTGACCCTGTGTGATGTGTGCAGCACCTGCTGTGATCCCAAAACTGGGGCTGGGAGGGGTTGGAATTTTTTGGGATTGATTGAGGAGCTTCCCTCCTCGTTCCCCTTGCTCTGAGGTTGGATTTATCCTGGTCTTTTTCCCATTTTTCCACTTTTTCCGCATTTTTCTCCCATTTTTCCAGCCTCCAGCCTGACCACCTGCCAGGTGTGCAAGACCACGACTATGGGGGGAACTCAGGAACTGATCCCAAGGGATTTTCACCCCCAATTTTTGACATTGAATTTTATCTCCATTTCCCCATTTTTTCACCTATTTTTTCCCCATTTTTCCAGCCTCCAGCCTGACCACCTGCCAGGTGTGCAGCACCTGCTCCAATCCCAAAACCAGGACTTGGGGGGGGGATCTCAGGAGCTGATCCCAAGAGATTTTGAACCCCTAATTCCCCATTTTTCCCCCATTTTTCCAGCCTCCAATCTGACCACCTGCCAGGTGTGCAAGACCAGGACTATGGGGGCATCTCAGGAACTGATCCCAAGGCATTTTTAACTCCCAGTTTTCCCATTTCCCCATTTTTTCACCTATTATTTCCCCATTTTTTCCAGCCTCCAGCCTGACCACCTGCGAGGCATACGGCGCCTGCTCCAATCCCGTAACCGTGTCTGTGTGGGAGCTGATCCCAAACAATGTTAACCCCTAATTCCCCATTTTCCCCCCATTTTTCCAGCCTCCAGCCTGACCACCTGCTCCAATCCCAAAGCCAGGACTTTGGAGGGGATCTCATGAACTGAACCCAAGGCATTTTTAACCCCTAATTTCCCATTTTCCCCCCATTTTTCCAGCCTCCAGCCTGACCACCTGCGAGCTGTGCAGCACCTGCTCCAATCCCAAAGCCAGGACTTTGGAGGGGATCTCAGGAACTGATCCCAAATGATTTTAACCCCTAATTTCCCATTTTTCCAGCCTCCAGCCTGACCACCTGCAAGGTGTGCAAGACCACATTATGGGGGTATCTCAGGAACCGATCCCAAGGGATTTTTAACCCCTGATTCCCCATTTTTCTCCCATTTTTCCAGCCTCCAGCCTGACCACCTGCGAGGTGTGCAGCGCCTGCTCTGTGAGGGTAACTCAGGAACTGATCCCAAGGCATTTTTAACCCCTGATTTCCCATTTTTCCCCATTTTTCCAGCTTCCAGCCTGACACCTGCTCCAATCCCAAAGCCAGGACTTTGGAGGGGATCTCAGGAACCGATCCCAAGGCATTTTTAACCCCTGATTTCCCATTTTTCCCCCATTTCCAGCCCCCAGCCTGACCACCTACCAGGTGTGCAGCACCTGCTCTGTGAGGGGATCTCAGGAGCTGATCCCAAATAATTTTAACCCCTGATTTCCCCTTTTCCCCCCATTTTTCCAGCCTCCAGCCTGACCACCTGCGAGGTGTGCAGCGCCTGCTCCAATCCCATAGTCAGGACTTTGGAGGGGATCTCAGGAGCTGATCCCAAGGCATTTTTAACCCCTAATTTCCCATTTTTCCCCATTTTTCCAGCCCCCAGCCTGACCACCTGCCAGGTGTGCAAGACCACGACTATGGGGGGAACTCAGGAGCTGATCCCAAGAGATTTTGAACCCCTGATTTCCCATTTTCCCCCATTTTTCCCCCATTTCCAGCCTCCAGCCTGACCACCTGCAAGATGTGCAAGACCACAACTATGGGGGGAACTCAGGAAATGATTCCAAGAAATTTTTAATTTCTAATTTCCCATTTTCCCCCCATTTTTCCAGCCTCCACCCTGACCACCTGCGAGGTGTGCAGCACCTGCTCTGTGAGGGGAACTCAGGAACTGATCCCAAGGCATTTTTAACTCCCAATTTTCCCATTTCCCCATTTTTTCACCTATTTTCTCTCCATTTCCAGCCCCCAGCCTGACCACCTGCCAGGTGTGCAAGACCACGACTATGGGGGGATCTCAGGAAATGATCCCAAGAGATTTTTAATTTCTAATTTCCCATTTTTCCCCCATTTTTCCAGCCTCCAGCCTGACCACCTGCGAGGAGTGCAGCACCTGCTCCTGAAATCCCAAAGCCAGGACTTTGGAGGGGATCTCAGGAACCGATTCCAAGGCATTTTTAACCCCTAATTTCCCATTTTTCCCCCATTTTTCCAGCCTCCAGCCTGACCACCTGCCAGGTGTGCAGCACCTGCTCTGTGAGGGGAACTCAGGAACTGATCCCAAGGCATTTTTAACCCCTGATTTCCCATTTCCCCATTTTTTCACCTATTTTCTCTCCATTTCCAGCCCCCATCCTGACCACCTGCAAGGTGTGCAAGACCACGACTATGGGGGGATCTCAGGAACTGATCCCAAGAGATTTTTAATTTCTAATTTCCCATTTTTCCAGCCTCCAGCCTGACCACCTGCGAGGAGTGCAGCACCTGCTCCTGAAATCCCAAAGCCAGGACTTTGGAGGGGATCTCAGGAACCGATTCCAAGGCATTTTTAACCCCTAATTTCCCATTTTTCCCCCATTTTTCCAGCCTCCAGCCTGACCACCTGCCAGGTGTGCAAGACCACGACTATGGGTGGAACTCAGGAACCAATCCCAAATGATTTTTAACCCCTGATTTCCCATTTTTCCAGCCTCCAGCCTGACCACCTGCGAGGTGTGCGGCGCCTGCTTCGAGACCCGCAAGGGGCTCTCCAGCCACGCCCGCTCCCACCTGCGCCAGCTGGGCGTGGCCGAGTCCGAGAGCTCGGGCGCCCCCATCGATCTCCTCTACGAGCTCGTGCGCCACAAGCCCAAGGCCGAGGGCCCCGCGCTGGCCAAGAAATCGGCGGGCGGCTCCCCGAAGGAGCCGGCGGCGCCGCGGCCGCCGCTGCTGCTGCTGCCCAAGCCCGAGGGCTCCCTCAACAAGGCCATCAAATCCCCGCCGGGCTTCGCCAAGGCCCTGGGCCGGCCGGGCTCGCCCGCGCTCCGGAAAGTTCCGGCGCCGCTGCCGGGCTCGCCCAAGGGCGGCGAGGAGAAGGGGGCGAAGCTGGCGCTGAGCCCAATGCCCGCCGAGGGCAAGTGGGCGCCCGACGAGGACGGGCCCCTCAACCTCAGTGAGTCATGAGGGGTTTGATTGGGTTTAATTTGGTTTAATTGGGTTTAATTGGGTTTTATTGGGGTGTAATGGGGTTTAATTGGGTTTGATTGGGGTTTAATGGGCACTGAGGAGAAGGGGGCGAAGCTGGCGCTGAGCCCAATGCCCGCCGAGGCCAAGTGGGCGCCCGACGAGGACGGGCCCCTCAACCTGAGTGAGTGACCAGGGGTTTGATTGGGTTTAATTGGGTTTAATTGGGTTTTATTGGGGTGTAATGGGGTTTAATTGGGGTTTAATGGGCACTGAGGAGAAGGGGGCGAAGCTGGCGCTGAGCCCAATGCCCGCCGAGGGCAAGTGGGCGCCCGATGAGGACGGGCCCCTCAACCTCAGTGAGTGCCCAGGGGGCTAATGGGGTTTAATGGGGTTTTATTGGGGTTTATTGGGGTTTTATGGGGTTTGATTGGGTTTTATTGGGGTGTAATGGGGTTTAATTGGGTTTAATTTGGTTTAATTGGGGTTTGGGCGCCCGATGAGGACGGCCCGCTCAACCTCAGTGAGTGATAAGGAATTTATTGGGGTTTAATTGGGTTTGATTGGGGTGTAATGGGGTTTTATTGGGGTTTGGTTGGGTTTGATTGGGGTGTAATGGGGTTTGATTGGGGTTTGGGACCCCGATGAGGATGGGCCGCTCAACCTCAGTGAGTGACGAGGGGGTTAATGGGGTTGATTGGGGTTTAATTGGGGTTTAATGGGGTTTTATTGGGTTTTAATTGGGTTTAGTGAGGTTTAATGGTGTTTGATTGGGTTTAATGGGGTTTGATTGGGGTTTGGGTGCCCGACGAGGACGGGCCCCTCAACCTCAGTGAGTGATGAGGGGTTTGATTGGGTTTAATGGGGTGTAATGGGGTTCTATTGGGGTGTAATGGGGTTTCATTGGGGTGTAATGGGGTTTAATGGGGTTTGATTGGGGTGTAATGGGGTTTAATTGGGTTTGATTGAGGTTTGGGCACCCGATGAGGACGGGCCCCTCAACCTCAGTGAGTCACGAGGGGGTTAATGGGGTACAATGGGGCTTTATTGGGGTTTTATTGGGTTTAGTGGGGTTTAATTGTGTTTGATTGGCATTTGGTTGGGTTTTATTGGGGTTTAGTTGAGGTTTAATTGGGTTTGATTGGGCTTTGGTTGGGTTTGATTGGGGTTTAATGGGCACTGAGGAGAAGGGGGCGAAGCTGGCGCTGAGCCCAATGCCCGCCGAGGGCAAGTGGGCGCCCGACGAGGACGGGCCCCTCAACCTCAGTGAGTGATGAGGGGGTTAATGGGGTTTGATTGGGTTTTATTGGGGTTTATTGGGATTTAATGGGGTGTAATGGGGTTTAATGGGGTTTAGTTGGGTTTTATTGGGGTGTAATGGGGTTTGGGCGCCCAACGAGGACGGGCCGCTCAACCTCAGTGAGTGACGAGGGGGTTAATGGGGTTGATTGGGGTTTAATTGGGGTTTAATGGGGTTTTATTGGGTTTTAATTGGGTTTAGTGAGGTTTAATGGTGTTTGATTGGGGTATAATTGGGTTCTATTGGGGTTTGGGCGCCCGACAAGGACGGGCCCCTCAACCTCAGTGAGTGATGAGGGGTTTGATTGGGTTTTATTGGGGTTTATTGGGGTTTTATTGGGATTTAATGGGGTGTAATGGGGTTTAGTTGGGTTTTATTGGGGTGTAATGGGGTTTGGGCCCCCGACGAGGACGGGCCCCTCAACCTCAGTGAGTGATGAGGGGTTTGATTGGGTTTTATTGGGGTTTATTGGGGTTTGATTGGGCTTTGGTTGGGTTTGATTGGGGTTTAATGGGCACTGAGGAGAAGGGGGCGAAGCTGGCGCTGAGCCCAATGCCCGCCGAGGGCAAGTGGGCGCCCGACGAGGACGGGCCCCTGAACCTCAGTGAGTGATAAGGAGTTTATTGGGGTTTAATGGGGTTTTATTTGGGTTTAATTGGGGTTTGATTGGGTTTTATTGGGGTTTGGGCCCCCGACGAGGACGGGCCGCTCAACCTCAGTGAGTGCCCAGGGGGCTAATGGGCTGTAATGGGGTTTAATTGGCATTTGGTTGGGTTTTCTTGGGGTTTAGGGGGGTTTAATTGGGTTTTATTGGGGTGTAATGGGGTTTAGTGGGGTTTTATTGGGGTTTAGTGGGGTGCAATGGGGTTTAACCCCTTCTCTGCCATTTCCCCACTTGCCCAGCCTCAGGCTCGGAGCTGTGCCGTGACCCCCACTACAAAATCCACGGGGGAATTCTTTGTGAAACCCCAGATTCCCACAACCCCAACCTTTTTAACCATTTCTCTGCCGTTCCCAGCCTCGGGCTTGGAGCTGTGCCATGACCCCCACTACAAAATCCATGGGGAATTCCTTGTGAAACCCCAGATTCCCACAACCCCAACCATCCACCAACACCTTTTTAACCATTTCTCTGCCATTTCCAGCCTCGGGCTCGGAGCCTTGCTGCGACATCCGCTGCGAATTTTGTGGGGAATTCCTTGTGAGACCCCAGATTCCCCAAACCCCAACCTTTTTAATCATTTCTCACCCATTTCTCACCCATTCTCCAGCCTTGGGCTCTGAGCTGTGCCATGACCCCCACTCCAAATTCCACGGGGGAATTCCTTGTGAAACCCCAGATTACCACAACCCCAACCTTTTTAACCATTTAACCCCAACCTTTTTAACCATTTCTCACCCATTTCTCACCCATTTCCAGCCTCAGGCTCCGAGCCCTGCCGCGACATCCGCTGCGAGTTCTGCGGGGAATTCTTTGAGAACCGCAAGGGGCTCTCGAGCCACGCTCGCTCGCACCTGCGCCAGATGGGGGTGACCGAGTGGTACGTGAACGGCTCCCCCATCGACACGCTGCGGGAAATCCTCACCCGCCGCCGCTCGGGCCACCCCAAGCCGCTGGCCAAGAGCCTGCTGGGCGGGCTGGCCCCTCTGGAGCCGCCTCGGGCCCCACCCGAGCTCCACCTGCCCCCGGCGCTGGGCAAGAAAGTCCCGGCTCCGCTGAGCCCTCCGGGCCCGGCCCCCGGCGCCGCCTCCTCCCCGCCACCACCGGCGCCGCCCACGGCCAGGAAAATGTTCCCGGGGCTCTCGGCGCCCTCCCTGCAGAAGAAACTGAAGCAGGACCAGCTCAGGGTGGAGATCAAGCGGGAGCTGATGGCTGGAGCAGGAGGAGGAGGAGGAGGAGGAGCCGGGATCCATCCCGGGGAGGCGCCGGCGCCGCCGGACCCGGCCTGGGCAGCGCACGAGGAGATGGCGCCGCTCAACCTCTGTGAGTGGTGCTGGGCTCTGGCACGGGGATTTGGGGGGCTCAGGGATTGTCCCAGGGATTTGGGGGGCTCAGGGATCGTCCCAGGGATTTGGGGGGTTCAGGGATCGTCCCAGGAATTGGGAGGGTTTAGGGATCGTCCCAGGGATTTGGGGGGTTCAGATCCAATATCAGGGATTTGGAGGGTTCAGGGATCGTCCCAGGGATTTGGGAGGGTTCAGGAATCATCCCAGGGATTTGGGGGGTTCAGATCCAATCTCAGGGATTTGGGGGGTTTAGGGATCGTCCCGGGGATTTGGGGGGCTCAGGGATCGTCCCAGGGATTTGGGGGGCTCAGGGATCGTCCCAGAGATTTGGGGGGTTCAGGGATCATCCCAGGGATTTGGGAGGGTTCAGGGATCGTCCCAGGGATTTGAGGGGTTCAGGGATCGTCCCAGGGATTTGGGAGGGTTCAGGGATCGTCCCAGGGATTTGGGAGGGTTTAGGGATCATCCCAGGGATTTGGGGGGGTTCAGGGATCATCCCAGGGATTTCGGGGGTTTAGGGATCATCCTGGGGATTTGAGGGGTTCAGATCCGATCTTGGGGATTTGGGGGGTTCAGGAATCATCCCAGGGATTTGGGGGGTTCAGGGATCGTCCCGGGGATTTGGGGGGTTCAGGAATCATCCCAGGGATTTGGGAGGGTTCAGATCTGATCTCAGGGATTTGGGAGGGTTTAGGGATCATCCCAGAGATTTGGGGGGCTCAGGGATCGTCCCAGGGATTTGAGGGGTTCAGGGATCGTCCCAGGGATTTGGGAGGGTTTAGGGATCGTCCCAGGGATTTGGGGGGTTCAGGGATCGTCCCAGGGATTTGGGAGGGTTTAGGGATCATCCCAGGGATTTGGGATGGTTCAGATCCGATCTCAGGGATTTAGGGACTCAAGATCCCATCTCAGGGGGTTCCATCCATCCCTAATCCCAGAATTTCCCCTTCTGCAGCCTCCTGGGCACAGACCCCGTGTGTGTCATCCGCTGGCTCCTCCTGGGGATTTTGGGGAGCTCATCCTGAGGATTTTGGGGAGCTCATCCTGAGGATTTTGGGGATCTCATCCTGAGGATTTTGGGGAGCTCACCCCAGGGATTTTGGGGAGCTCACCCCAGGGATTTTGAGGAGCTCATCCCGGGGATTTTGGGGAGCTCACCCCAAGGATTTTGGGGAGCTCATCCTGGGGATTTTGGGGAGCTCATCCCAGGGATTTTGAGGAGCTCACCTGGGGATTTTGGGGAGCTCAACCTGGGGATTTTGAGGAGCTCATCCTGAGGATTTTGGGGAGCTCACCCCAAGGATTTAGGGACCCAATATCCCATCCCAGCGGTTTCCTTCTCTCCCTAATCCCAGAATTTCCCCTCCCTGCAGCCTCCTGGGCAAACCCAGTGCGCGACATCCGCTGCGAGTTCTTGGGGCTCACCCTGAGGATTTTGGGGATGCTCTTGAGCCCATCCAGGGGTTTCCATCCATCCTTAATCCCACATTTCCCCTCCCTTGCAGCCTCCCGGGCGGACCCGGTGCGCGACATCCGCTGCGAGTTCTGCGGGGAATTCTTTGAGAACCGCAAGGGGCTCTCGAGCCACGCTCGCTCCCACCTGCGCCAGATGGGGGTGACCGAGTGGTCGGTGAACGGCTCCCCCATCGACACGCTGCGGGAGATCCTCAGGAAGAAATCCAAGCCCTGCCTCATCAAGAAGGAGCCGCCGCTGCCGCCGGGGCTGGAGCCGGGCCCGGGGCTGTGCGAGGAGGAGCCCAAAGCGCCCCCGGGGCCGGCTCCGGGCAAGGCGCTGCCCCCGGGGCTGGCCCTGGGCAAGCCGGGCTCGGGGCTGGCCCTGGCACCGCTGGGCTCCAAGAACGCCCCAGGGGCCTTCCTGGCTGCCAAGAGACCCCTGGGAGACACAGAGAGGCTGGGAGGGCACGGAGAGGCCAAGCACAAAGGCTTCGAGCTGGGCTTCAAGGCCAAGGCCCTGCACGACAAGGCCTGTGAGTGCTGAGGGAGATCACAGGAATTTTGGGGTTTTTGGGATGGTTTGGGATGGTTTTTGGGTGGTTTTGGGATCTTTGGGATGGTTTTGGGGTGGTTTTGGGGTGGGCTGGGAGGCCACAGAGAGGCCAAGCACAAAGGCTTCGAGCTGGGCTTCAAGGCCAAGGCCCTGCACGACAAGGCCTGTGAGTGCTGGGGGACTTTGGGGTGTGTTTGGGATCTTTTGGATGGTTTTGGGATCTTTAGGATGCTTTTGGGATGCTTTTGGGATGCTTTTGGGATCTTTAGGATGGTTTTGGGATGGTTTTGGGATCTTTGGGATGGTTTTGGGATGGGCTGGAAGGGCCTTCGAGCTGGGCTTCAAGGCCCAGGCCCTGCACAACAAGGCCTGTGAGTGGTGAGGGACATCACAGGGATTTCGGGGAATTTGGGGGTTTTGGGATGGATTTTGGGTGGTTTTGGGATCTTTAGGATGGTTTTGGGATCTTTGGGATCTTTGGGATGGTTTTGGGATCTTTGGGATGGTTTTGAGATGGGCTGGAAGGGCCTTTGAGCTGGGCTTCAAGCTGGGCTTCAAGGCCAAGGCCCTGCACGACAAGGCCTGTGAGTGCTGAGGGGAAATGATGGGAATTTTGGGGAATTTGGGGTCTTTGGGATGGTTTTGGGATCTTTGGGATGGTTTTGGGATCTTTGGGATGGTTTTGGGGTGGTTTTGGGATGGGCTGGGAGGGCACGGAGAGGCCAAGCACAAAGGCTTCGAGCTGGGCTTCAAGGCCAAGGCCCTGCACAGCAACAAGGCCTGTGAGTCTTGAGGGAATTTTGGGGTTTTTGGGGTTTTTGAGATGATTTTGAGACACTTTTGTGATGTTTCTGGCATGGGCTGGGAGCACATGTTATTTTCCAATTTTTTCCCATTTTTTCCCCATTTTTCCATGCTCTTCCTGCTGCGAGCTGTGTGGGCTGCACTTTGAGAACAGGAAGGCCCTGGCCAGCCACGCCCGGGCACTGCCCGTACCCCATTTTCTGTATAAATAGTCCCATTTTCCCCTCCTTTTTTCCCATTTTTCCATATTTTAACCCCATTTTCCCTTTTTTAACCCCATTTTAACCCCGTTTTTTCTGTTTTTTCCCTGTTTCCCAGCAGCAGAGGCCTGCTGCGAGCTCTGTGGGCTGCACTTTGAGAACAGGAAGGCCCTGGCCAGCCACACCCGGGCACACCTGCGGCACTTTTAGCAATACCCATACCCCATTTTCCCTATTTTAACCCCATTTTTTCCCATTTTTCAGCATTTTAACCCCATTTTTTCCCCATTTTCTGTGTTTCCCAGCAGCAGAAGCCTGCTACGAACTCTGTGGGCTGTACTTTGAGAACAGGAAGGCCCTGGCCAGCCACGCCCGGGCACTGCCCATACCCCATTTTCTGTATAAATAATCCCATTTTTTGCTATTTTAACCCCATTTTAACCCCATTTTTTCCCCATTTTCTGTGTTTCCCAGCAGCAGAGGCCTGCTGCGAGCTGTGTGGGCTGTACTTTGAGAACAGGAAGGCCCTGGCCAGCCATGCCTGGGCACTGCCCGTACCCCATTTTCTGTATAAATAATCCCATTTTCCCCCCGTTTTTTCCCATTTTTCCCTATTTTAACCCCATTTTCTGTGTTTCCCAGCAGCAGAGGCCTGCTGCGAGCTGTGTGGGCTGTACTTTGAGAACAGGAAGGCCCTGGCCAGCCACGCCCGGGCGCACCTGCGGCAGTTTGGGGTCACCATTGACACTTTCAGCAATACCCATACCCCATTTTCACCATTTTAACCCAATTTTCACCATTTTAACCCCATTTTTCCCCCGTTTTTTCCCATTTTTCCCTATTTTAACCCCATTTTTTCCCCATTTTCCCTGTTTCCCAGCAGCAGAGGCCTGCTGCGAGCTGTGTGGGCTGTACTTTGAGAACAGGAAGGCCCTGGCCAGCCATGCCTGGGCACTGCCTGTACCCCATTTTCTGTATAAATAATCCCATTTTTTTCCCATTTTTCCCTATTTTAACCCCGTTTTTCCCCATTTCTCACTATTTTTTCCCCATTTTCCCTGTTTCCCAGCAGCAGAGGCCTGCTGCGAGCTGTGTGGGCTGCACTTTGAGAACAGGAAGGCCCTGGCCAGCCACGCCCGGGCGCACCTGTGGCAGTTTGGGGTCACCATTGACACTTTCAGCAATACCCATACCCCATTTTTCCCCCGTTTTTTCCCATTTCTCACTATTTTAACCCCGTTTTTTCCCTGTTTCCCAGCAGCAGAGGCCTGCTGCGAGCTCTGTGGGCTGTACTTTGAGAACAGGAAGGCCCTGGCCAGCCACGCCCGGGCGCACCTGTGGCAGTTCGGGGTCACCATTGACACTTTCAGCAATACCCATACCCCATTTTCACCATTTTAACCCCATTTTAACCCCATTTTTTCCCCATTTTCTGTGTTTCCCAGCAGCAGAGGCCTGCTGCGAGCTGTGTGGGCTGTACTTTGAGAACAGGAAGGCCCTGGCCATCCACACCCGGGCGCACCTGCGGCACTTTTAGCAATACCCATTCCCCATTTTCACCATTTTAACCCCATTTTAACCCCGTTTTTTCTGTTTTTTTCCCTGTTTCCCAGCAGCAGAGGCCTGCTGCGAGCTGTGTGGGCTGCACTTTGAGAACAGGAAGGCCCTGGCCAGCCACGCCCGGGCGCACCTGCGGCAGTTCGGGGTCACCATTGACACTTTCAGCAATACCCATACCCCATTTTCACCATTTTAACCCCATTTTAACCCCATTTTTCCCCCGTTTTTTCCCATTTTTCCCTATTTTAACCCCATTTTTTCCCCATTTTTCCCTGTTTCCCAGCAGCAGAGGCCTGCTGCGAGCTGTGTGGGCTGTACTTTGAGAACAGGAAGGCCCTGGCCAGCCACGCCCGGGCGCACCTGCAGCAATTCGGGGTCACCTGTGGCACTTTCAGCAATATCCATACCCCATTTTTTGGCTGTTAATTCTCATTTTTTCCCCATTTTCCCCTATTTTAACCCCATTTTCCCTGTTTCCCAGCAGCAGAGGCCTGCTGCGAGCTGTGTGGGCTGTACTTTGAGAACAGGAAGGCCCTGGCCAGCCACACCTGGGCACTGCCCGTACCCCATTTTCTGTATAAATAATCTCATTTTTCCCTATTTTAACCCCATTTTTTCCCATTTTTCCCCATTTTAACCCCGTTTTTTTCTGTTTTTCCCCTGTTTCCCAGCAGCAGAGGCCTGCTGCGAGCTGTGTGGGCTGTACTTTGAGAACAGGAAGGCCCTGGCCAGCCACGCCCGGGCGCACCTGCAGCACTTTTAGCAATACCCATTCCCCATTTTCACCATTTTAACCCAATTTTCACCATTTTAACCCCATTTTTCCCTATTATAACCCCATTTTTTCCCCATTTTCTGTGTTTCCCAGCAGCAGAGGCCTGCTGCGAGCTCTGTGGGCTGCACTTTGAGAACAGGAAGGCCCAGGCCAGCCACACCTGGGCACACCTGCGGCACTTTTAGCAATACCCATACCCCATTTTTCCCCCGTTTTTTCCCATTTTTCCCTATTTTCACCCCGTTTTTTCCCTGTTTCCCAGCAGCAGAGGCCTGCTGCGAGCTGTGTGGGCTGTACTTTGAGAACAGGAAGGCCCTGGCCAGCCATGCCCGGGCGCACCTGCGGCACTTTCAGCAATACCCATACCCCATTTTCACCAATTTAACCCCATTTTAACCCCATTTTTTCCCCATTTTCTGTGTTTCCCAGCAGCAGAGGCCTGCTGCGAGCTGTGTGGGCTGTACTTTGAGAACAGGAAGGCCCTGGCCAGCCACGCCCGGGCGCACCTGCGGCAGTTCGGCGTCACCGAGTGGTGCGTGAACGGCTCCCCCATCGAGACCCTGCGCGAGTGGATCCGGCACCGGCCCCACAAGGCCGGCGCCTACCGCAGCTACATCCAGGGCGGGCGCCCCTTCTCCAAGAAGTTCCGGAGCTCGGCGCACCCCCGGGAGCCCCGCGGGGCCCTGGCCGTGCCCTTCCTGCCCAAGGGGGGCCTGGCGGCCGAGGCGGCGCTGGGCGAGTGCGGGAAGGGCCCCGAGGGAGCCGAGCGGGCGCTGGGGACGCCCCTGGGAGTGGTCAAGGTGGAGGAGCAGAGGGGCAACTTCAGCAGTGAGTGATGGGAAAGGGGAAAATGGGGGGTTTGGGGTGGGAAATGTGGGGTTTGGGGTGGGAAATGTGGGGTTTGGGGTGGGAAATGTGGGGTTTGGGAATGGGGAATGGGAATGGAGAATGGGAATGGGGAATGGGAATGGGGAATGAGGAGTGGTCAAGGTGGAGGAGCAGAGGGGCAACTTCAGCAGTGAGTGATGGGGGGAGAAATGGGAGAAATGCGGGGTTTGGGGGGTTTGTGGGGTTTGGGAATGGGAAATGTGGGGTTTGGGGTGGGAAAAGGGGAATTGTGGTGTTTGGGGTGGGATTTGTGGCGTTTGTGGGGTTTGGGAATGGGGAATGGGGATGGGAATGGGGAACGGTCAAGGTAGAGGAGCAGAGGGGCAACTTCAGCAGTGAGTGATGGGAAAGGGGAGAATGGGGGGTTTGGGGTGGGAAATGTGGGGTTTGGGAATGGGAATGGGAATGAGGAGTGGTCAAGGTGGAGGAGCAGAGGGGCAACTTCAGCAGTGAGTGATGGGAAAGGGGAAAAATGGGGGGTTTGGGGTGGGAAATGTGGGGTTTGGGGTGGGGAAAATAGGATTTATGGGGTTGGGAATGGTAAAAATGGGGTTTGGGAATGGAGAATGGGAATGGGAATGGAGAATGGGGAATGGTCAAGGTGGAGGAGCAGAGGGGCAACTTCAGCAGTGAGTGGTGGGAAAGGGGAAAATGGGGGGTTTGGGGTGGGAAATGTGGGGTTTGGGAATGGGAAATGGGAATGGAGAATGGGAATGGGAAATGGGAATGGAGAATGGGAATGGGAATGAGGAGTGGTCAAGGTGGAGGAGCAGAGGGGCAACTTCAGCAGTGAGTGATGGGAAAGGGGAAAAATGGGAGAAATGGGGGGTTTGGGAATGGAAAAAATGGGGTTTGGGGGGGAAAAACGGGATTTATGGGGTTGGGAATGGGAATGAGGAGCGGTCAAGGTGGAGGAGGAGAGGGGCAACTTCAGCAGTGAGTGATGGGGGAAAAATGGGGGCTTTGGGGGGTTTGGGAATGGGAAATGTGGGGTTTGGAGTGGGATTTGTGGGGTTTGTAGGGTTGGGAATGGTAAAAATGGAGTTTGGGAATGGAGAATGGGAATGGAGAATGGGAATGGGAATGAGGAGTGGTCAAGGTGGAGGAGCAGAGGGGCAACTTCAGCAGTGAGTGATGGGGGGAGAAATGGGGGGTTTGGGGGGTTTGGGAATGGGAAATGTGGGGTTTGGGGTGGGAAAAATGGGATTTATGGGGTTGGGAATGGTAAAAATGGGGTTTGGGAATGGGGAATGGGAATGGGGAACGGTCAAGGTGGAGGAGCAGAGGGGCAACTTCAGCAGTGAGTGATGGGGGGAGAAATGGGGGGTTTGGGGGGTTTGGGGTGGGAAATGTGGGGTTTGGGAATGGGAATGGGGACAGGATTGGGAATGGGATGGGAACGGAATTGGGGATGGGGCTGGGAATGTGAAACTGGGATTGGGGACAGGCAATGGGAATGGGGACAGGATTGGGAATGGGGACAGGAACGGGGACAGGAAATGGGAATGGGGACAGGAACAGGGATTGGGGACAGGATTGGGAATGGGGACAGGAACGGGGACAGGAAATGGGAATGGGGACAGGAACAGGGATTGGGGACAGGATTGGGAATGGGGACAGGATTGGGACTGGGGACAGGATTGGGACTGGGGACAGGAACGGGGACAGGCAATGGGAATGGGGACAGGAAATGGGATTGGGGACAGGAACAGGGATTGGGGACAGGATTGGGAATGGGGATAGGAATGGGACTGGGGACAGGAACAGGGACAGGACTGGGAATGGAATGGGAAGGGGATGGGATTGGGAACAGGACAGCACCGGGGACAGCACCGTGGACTCGTGGTGTGACTGTGGCTCCGTGACCCTGCCTGGAGCCATGCCCGGGGCTCCCCCAGTGCTGAGCTCCCCGAATTCTCCCATCCCCAGAGTTCGAGCGGCGCCAGGCGCGGGCCCTGGAGGCGCCGCTGCCGCGCGAGGCCGAGCCCGGCGCCGCCGAGTTCCCGCGGAAGCTCCCGGAGCCGCGGCCGCCGCCGCGCGTGCGCCCGGTGCCCGCCCTGGTGCCGCGCCCGCCCCAGACCTCGCTGGTCAAGTTCGTGGGCAACATCTACACCCTCAAGTGCAGGTGGGTCGGGGGATTTTCCCATTTCCAGCCTTTTTTTGGGGTGTTTGTCCTGATTTTCCGCGCTTTTCCATCCCCATTTTCCGGCTCTTCCATCCCCATTTTCGCCTCTTTTCCCACTCCCCCATCCCAGTTTTTGGTGCTTCCCACCCCAATTCCTTCCCCAGACCTCGCTGGTCAAGTTCGTGGGCAACATCTACACCCTCAAGTGCAGGTGGGTCTGGGGGATTTTCCCCTTTTCCAGGCTTTTTTTGGGGTGTTTGTCCTGATTTTCTGCGCTTTTCCATCCCCATTTTCGCCTCTTTTCCCCCCTTTTCCTGCTCTTCCCTCCCTGGTTTTGGCTCTTTTCCCACCATTTCCTGCTCTCCCATCCATGGTTTTTGGTTTTTCTCCTGCATTTCCCCCCTTTTCCTGCTCTTCTCTGCCTTGTTTTGGCTCTTTTCCTGCATTTCCCCCCTTTTCCTGCTCTTCCCTGCCTGGTTTTTGGTTCTTTTCCCCGTTTTGCCTGCATTTCCTCCCTTTCCCTGCTCTCCCATCCCTTTTTTTGGCTCTTATCCCACCATTTCCTGCTCTCCCATCCCTGGTTTTGGCTCTTTTCCCACCATTTCCTGCTCTCCCATCCATGGTTTTTGGTTCTTTTCCTGCATTTCCTCCCTTTTTGTGCTCTTCTATCCCTGGTTTTGGTTCTTTTCCCCTTTTTTCCTGCATTTCCCCCCTTTCTGTGCTCTTCCATCCATTTTTTTGGCTCTTCTCCCCCCTTTTCCCACTCCCCCATCCCAGTTTTTGGTGCTTCCCACCCCAATTCCTTCCCCAGACCTCGCTGGTCAAGTTCGTGGGCAACATCCACACCCTCAAGTGCAGGTGGGTTGGGGGATTTTCCCATTCCCAGCCTTTTTTTGGGGCGTTTCTCCTGATTTTCCGCGCTTTTCCATCCCCATTTTCGCCTCTTTTCCCCCCTTTTCCTGCTCTTTGCTCCCTGGGTTTGGCTCTTTTCCCACCATTTCCTGCTCTCCCATCCATGGTTTTTGGTTCTTTCCCTGCATTTCCTCCCTTTTTGTGCTCTTCCCTCCCTGATTTTGGCTCTTTTCCCCTTTTTTCCTGCATTTCCCCCCTTTCCCTGCTCTTCCATGCCTTTTTTTGGCTCTTTTCCCACCATTTCCTGCTCTCCCATCCATGGGTTGTGGTTCTTTTCCTGCTCTTCCCTGCCTGGTTTTGGCTCTTTTCCCCTTTTGTCCTACATTTCCCTCCTTTTCCCGCTCTTCCCATCCCTTTTTTTGGCTGTTTTCCCACCATTTCCTGCTCTCCCATCCATGGCTTTTGGTTCTTTTCCCTTTTTTTCCTACATTTACCCCCTTTTCCTGCTCTTCCATCCCTTTTTTTGGCTCTTTTCCCCTTTTTTCCTGCATTTCCCCCCTTTCCCTTCTCCCCCATCCCAATTTTTGGGGCTTTTCCCCATTTCACCCCCTCTCCCTCCCCTCCAGCCTCATTTTTACCATTCCCAATCCCCAAAACCTGGGAATTGCTCCCAAAACCCGGGAATTCCTGCCCAAAACTCAGGAATTCCTCCAGGAATTCCCCCCAAAACCTGGGAATTTCTTTGGGAATTCCTGCCCAAAACCCAGGAATTCCCCCCCAAACCCCGTGAATTTCTCCAGGAATTCCCCCCTAAAACCCAGGAATTCCTGCCCAAAACCCCAGGAATTCCTGCCCAAAACCCAGGAATTCCTCCAAGAATTGTCCCCAAACCCCAGGAATTCCTGCCCAAAACCCAAGAATTTCTCTGGGAATTCCTGCCCAAAACCCAAAAATTTCCCCCAAAACCCAGGAATTCCTCTGGGAATTCCCCCCAAAACCCAGGAATTTCTCCAGGAATTCCTCCCCAAAACCTGGGAATTTCCCCCAAAACTCAGGAATTCCTGCCCAAAACCCAGGAATTTCTCCAGGAATTGCCCCCAAACCCCAGGAATTCCTCCCCAAACCCCACAGATTCCTGCCCAAACCCCGGGAATTCCTCCATGAATTCCCCCCAAAACTCAGGAATTTCTCTGGGAATTCCCCCCAAACCCCTGGAATTTTCCCCCATTATTTCTGTTTTCCCCCCCAAACCCACAATCTCCCCCATTATTTCTGTTTTTCCCCCAAACCCCGGACTTTGCCCCATTATTTTTGTGTTTCCTCCAGGAATTCTCCCCAAAACCCGGGAATTCCCCCCAAACCCAGGAATTCTTCCGTGAATTCCTCCCAAAACCCGGGAATTTCTGCCCAAACCCCAGGAATTCCTCCAGGAATCCCCCGCAAACCCCAGGAATTCCTGCCCAAACCCCAGAAATTCCTCTGGGAATTCCCCCCAAAACCCAGGAATTTCTCCAGGAATTCCTCCAGGAATTCCTCCCCAAAACCTGGGAATTCCTCCCCAAACCCCAGGAACTCCTCCCAAACCCCAGGAATTCCCCTCAAAACTCAGGAATTCCTGCCCAAACCCCGTAAATTCCTCTGTGAATTCCTCCCCAAACCCCAGGAATTCCTGCCCAAAACTCGGGAATTCCTCCAGGAATTCTCCCCAAAACCTGGGAATTCCTCTGGGAATTCCCCCGAATTCCTGGGAATTCCTCCCCAAAACCCCAGGAATTCCCCCCCAAACCCCAGGAATTCTCCCCAAACCCCGTGAATTCCTCCAGGAATTCCCCCCAAAACCCAGGAATTCCTCTGGGAATTCCCCTGAAATCCTGAGAATTCCTCCCCAAAACCCCAGGAATTCCTGCCCAAACCCCATGAATTCCTCCATGAATTCCCCCCAAACCCCAGGAATTCCCCCCAAAACCTGGGGCTGGGATTTTTATTTTTCTGTTTTCCCCCATTTCAGGTTCTGTGAGGTGCAGTTCCAGGGCCCTCTGTCCATCCAGGAGGAGTGGGTGCGGCACCTCCAGCGCCACATCCTGGACATGAATTTTTCCAAGGCGGATCCGCTCCGGAGCGAGGCCCCCCCGGAACCCCCGGCCCTGCCCGAAGCTCCCTGAAAAAAACAAAAAAAAATTTATATTTTTTGGGGCTTTTTTTGGGTTTTTTTGGGGTTTTTTTTTGCGTTTTTTTGGGATTTTTTGGGATTTTTTTCCCCCAAAATCCTGGGAATTAAACCAAAAAAAAAAAACCCCAAAAAAAACCCCACAGACACACAAAAAAAAATTCAAAATAAAAATCCCACCCACCAATAATAAAAGAACCCAAACCCCCCCCAAAATTCCAGTGGGGTCTCCTAGAGAGGGGAGGGGAGGGGGTTCTGCCCCCAGTTTTTGGGGGGATTTTTGGGGTTTTTGGGATTTTTCGGGCTGGCACAGCCGCAAGCACTACACAGAGCATTCCCACTGCCGGGAATTCCCTTGGGAATGTTGGGAATTCCCTTGGGAATGTCGGGAATTCCGCCCTCCCTTCCCGGGAAATGAACAAAAAAATAAAAAATTTAAAAAAATTCCCCCCCCCACCTTTTTTTAATCCCAAAGAACCGGGCAGGGAATTCCCAGAATTCCCAGAATTCCCAGAATTCCCAGAATGGATTCCCGGGAAGGGGGAAACGCTGTGGATTTTGTACATTTGGACCCTTGGCTGAGTTGTAAATTCCTGATTTTTTTATTTTGTTTTTTTTTCCCCCTTTTTTTGTTTTTATTTTTAGTGGCCCCGTAGATGTCGGAATTCCCTCAGTTCCGGGGTTGCATGGTCCCAAAATTCCCAATTTTTTTTTTTCCCCAAGGAAATCCCGTGGGATTTTTTTCCCCCATTTCCCGTGGGATTTCCCCAAAATTCCGGGGAGGATTCGGCTCCGTTTTTTCCCCAAAAATTCCCTTTTTTTTTTTTTTTTCCTTGATTTTATTCCCCTTTTTTTCCCCTCCCTCATCCCGACTTTTTTAAACTCTATAGATTTGTGTAGAAAGCGAAGGAAAAAAGGAAAAAATTCCGTTTTTATTTGGGAATCCCGAAACGTCCGGATTTCGGAAGGAATTTTAATGGACAATTTTCAATGTTTTGGTGTTTTATTTTTCCTGGTTTTGTGGTTTTTATTTTTTGGTTTTTATTTTTTCTTTTTTTTTTGTTTTTTTTAATTTTATTTCCACGTTTTTCGGGACGTTTCGGGCGTTTCCTGTACCCGGGGCTGGGGGACGATGGATTAAAAACTCTGGAGATGAAATCCCGGGAAAAACAACGGAGTCTCTGCATGCCTGGAGGGGCATCGGGGGAAATCCGGGGAATTTGGGGAAATTCCGGGAAATTTGGGGAAATCCAGGGAAATTTTGGGGAATTCTGGGGAAATTCCAGGGAGATTTGAGGAAAATTCCAGGGAAATTTGGGGAAAATCTGGGGAAATTTGGGGAAATCCAGGGGGATTTGGGGGAATTCTGGGGAAATTTCAGGGAGATTTGGGGAAGATCCAAGGAGATTTGGGGGAATCCGGGGAAATTTGGGAAAAATCCGGGAAATTTGGGGAAAATCCGGGGAAATTTGGGGAATTCCGGGGAAATTTGGGGAAATTCCAGGGAGATTTGGGGAAAATCCAGGGAGATTTGGGGGAAATCCGGGAAATTTGGGGAAAATCCAGAGGGATTTGGGGGAAATTTGGGGAAATTCCAGGGAAATTTGGGGAAATTCAACAGAAATTTTGGAGAATTCTGGGGAAATTCCAGGGAGATTTGGGGGAAATTTGAGGAAATAAAGAGAAATTTGGAGAAATTCCAGGGAGATTTGGGGAAATCCGGGAAATTTGGGGAAAATCCGGGGAGATTTGGGAAAATCCAGGGAAATTTGGGGGAAATTACAGGGAAATCCAGGAAAATTTAGGAAAATCCTGGGAAATTTAGGGAAATTCCAGGGAAATTTGGGAAAATCCCGGGAGGTTTGGGGAAAATTCCAGGGAAATTTGGGGAACTTCCAGGGAAATTTGGGGAAAATCCAGAGGGATTTGGGGGAAATTCCAGGGAAATTTGGGGAAATCCAGGGGGATTTGGGGGAATTCTGGGGAAATTTCAGGGAGATTTGGGGAAGATCCAGGGAGATTTGGGGGAATCCGGGGAAATTTGGGGAAAATCCAGGGAAATTTAGGGGAAATCCAGAGGGATTTGGGGAATTCTGGGGAAATCCGGGGAGATTTGGGGGAAATTCCTGGGGGGATTTGGGGAAATTCCAGGGAGATTTGGGGGAATTCCAGAGAAATTTGGGGGAATTCCAGGGAAATTTGGGTGAATTCCAGGGAAATTTTGGAAAATCCAGGGAGATTTGGGGAAAATCCAGGGAAATCTGGGGGAGAATCCAAGGAAATTTGGGGAAATTCCAGAGGGATTTGGGGGCATTCCAGGGAAATCCAGGGAAATTTGGGGCGGATCCAGGGAGGATCGAAGGAGGGGAAGGGTCAGGGATGGGTTTGGGTCCCGGGATTTGGGATCTGGGTTTGGGGATTTGGGATTGGGGTCGGGATTTGGGGACATTGCAAAGGGGATATGGGGACAGGGATGGGGATTTGGGGACAGGGGTTTGGGGTCGTTATTTGGGGATTTGGGGTCGTTTTTTGGGATTTGGGACAGGGGTTTGGGGTAGTTTTTGGGCATTTGGGGCCGTTTTTTGGGCATTTGGGGTCGTTTATTTGGGATTTGGGATTTGGGGACCCCGCGCCGTCCCCGCGTCCCGCACGTGACGAACACGTGACACGCGCTGCACGTGACAAGCACGTGACCCCAGGTGACACCGCACCGCCGCCGGCGACCACGTGAGGGCGCCACAGGGGGCGTGGCCTCAGCGGAGGCAGCCAATAGAAGCCGGCGCTGCAGCGAGGGGGCGTGGCTAAGGGCGCTCCTGTCACGCGATAGGCCGTAAACCGGCGCAGCTGGCCAATGGGGGAGCAGAGCGGGGGAAGCCACGCCTCCTCATGGAGCAGACTTTCACTTTAACCAATCGCATCGCGGGAGACGCGATGAACGACAGCGGTCAGCTGCCAATGGGAGGCGCGACCCTCGCGGGCCAATCAGCGCGGGGGAGGCGGAGCGGTGCGGCCAATCAGCGCCAGGGGGCGGGGCCGGCGCGGCGCCGTTACCGCCCGGGAAAGGGGAGGAGGCGCCGCCATCATGAGCTACGGTGAGGGGAGGGGGCGGCACCGGCACGGGAGGGACCGCGGGCACCGGGACCGGGAGGGGCCGGAGGGGTCCGTCAGGGTCGGCGGGAACCGTGAGGGGCCGCTGGGGTCGGTGAGGAGCGGGAACCGAGAGGGGCGGCGGCGTCGGTGAGGGGCGGCGGGTCCGTGACGGGCAGAGGGATCCGTGAGGGGCGGCTGGGGTCGGTGAGGGGCGGGAACCGTGAGGGACGGCGGGGTCCTTCAGGGACGGCGGGATCCTTAGGGGCCCGCTGGGGTCAGTGAGGAGCGGGAGCTGTGAGGAGCGGGGAGATCCGTGACAGGCGGATTCGTGAGGGGCTCGCCGGGGGTCAGTGAGGAGCGGGAACCGTGGGGGGTGACGGGTCTGTGAGGGGCGGCGGGATCCATGAGGGACTCGTTGGAGTCGGTGAGGAGCAGGGGGATCCGTGACAGGCGGAGGGATCTGTCAGGGGCTCGCTGAGGTCGGTGAGGGGCGGGAGCTCTGAGGGCCAGCGGGTCCGTGAGGGGCGGTGAGGTCTGTCAGGGGCTCGCTGTGGTCCGTGAGGGGTGGTGGAACCGTGAGGGGACGCTGGGGTCGGTGAGAAACAGGAGCCGTGAGGAAGCGGCGGGGTCTGTGAGGGGCGGCTGGAAACGTGAGGAAGCGGCGGGGTCTGTGAAGGGCGGTGGAACCGTGAGGAACCGGCGGGGTTTGTGAGGGGCGGCGGGAGCCGTGAGGAGACGCTGCGGTCGGTGAGAAGCAGGAACCGTGACGGGCGGCGGGGTCTGTGAGGGGCGGTGGGAACCGTGAGGAACCGGCGGGGTCTGTGAGGGGTGGCTGGAACCGTGAGGAACCGGTGGGAACCGTGAGGGGCCGCTGGGGTCGGTGAGGGGCGGTGGAACCGTGAGGAACCGGCGGGGTCTGTGAGGGGTGGCTGGAACCGTGAGGAACCGGTGGGAACCGTGAGGGGCCGGCGGGGTTTGTGAGGGGCGGCGGGAGCCGTGAGGAGACGCTGGGGTCGGTGAGAAGCAGGAACCGTGAGGAACCGGCGGGGTCCGTGAGGGGCGGTGGGAACCGTGAGGAACCGGTGGGAACCGTGAGGAACCAGCGGAGTCTGTGAGGGGAGGCGGGAACCGTGAGGGGAAAGCCGAGAGAGCGGGACCAGAGTGGGGGGGCGGTGCCTGAGGGACCGGGGGACACCGGGACTGGGGGGGGTTCGTGAGGGACCAGGGGTGACCGTGAGGGACCCGGGGGGACACCGGGACTGGGGGTGACCGTGAGGGACCGGGTGGGACACCGGGACATGGAGGGGAGCCCTGAGGGACCGGAGGTGACCGTGAGGGGCCAGGGGAACACCGGCAAATGGAGGGGGGCCCTGAGGGACCGGAGGTGTCCCTGAGGGCACCGGGGGGACACCGGGACTGGGGGTGACCGTGAGGGACCCGGGGGTGACGCCGGGACATGGAGGGGGAGCCCTGAGGGACCGGGGGTGACCGTGAGGGACCGGGGGTGTCCCTGAGGGCACCGGGGGGACACCGGGACATGGAGGGGGGCCCTAAGGGACCCGGGGGTTCCGGGACACTGTGGGGGACACCGGGACCGGAGATGTCCCTGAGGGACCGGGGGTGTCCGGGAGAGCCCAAATTCCTCGGAATTCGATCCCAAACCCGGGATTTGATTTGATCCATTTGGGTCTCCCGGTCCCGCTTTGAGCACCAGGAATTCCCAAATTCCCGGGAATTTGCTCCCAAACCCGGGATTTGCTCCCAGCCCGGTCCCGTTCACCGCTCCCGGGAGTTCCCGGTTCCATCCCGGCCCGGGTTTATTCTCACCCGACCCCTCCCGAGCCGTTTTAATCCCATTTTTTCCCCTTTTAATCCCATTTTTTCCCGTTTTTATCCCATTTTCCCCCGTTTTTTTCCGTGAATCCCGGCCCGTTCCCTCACCTGGCCCCGCCTGATTCCCGCAAATTCCCGGACAATTCCCACCCGCAGGCGGGGAAGGAGCTCCCAAACCCCTTAATTGGGCTGTTGTGCTAATGAGGAGCCGCTAATTAGGGCTGAAATGACCCTGGGGAATGAGGGCAGCCGGGAACAGCAGGAACGGGATCCAGCTCCCGTTTTTTTCCCCTTTTTTTTTTATTCTTTCCCACTTTACCCTGCTTTTCCCCATTTTTCTGATTCTTTCTCCATTTTTCCCATTTTTCCCAATTTTTCCCCATTTTTTCCCAATTTTTCCCCATTTTCCCCAATTTTTTCCCCATTTTTCTTCCATTTTTCCTCATTCTGTCCCATTTTTTTCTGTTTACCCCTGGTTTTCTCTGTATTGTCCCATTTTCCCCCAATTTTTCCCATTTTTCCCAATTTTTCCCATTTTCTCCCCACTCCCTTTTTCCCCTTTTTCCCCTTCTTCCCCCTTCTTCCCCATTTTCCCCCATTTTTCCAATTTTTCCCCATTTCCCCCCAATTTTTCCCCATTTCCCCCCAATTTTTCCCCATTTCCCCCATTTTTCCCCATTTCCCCCAATTTCCCCCCATTTTTCCCCATTTTTCCAATTTTCCCCCATTTCCCCCCCATTTTTCCCCATTTCCCCCCCATTTTTCCCCATTTCCCCCAATTTTCCCCATTTGCCCCCCATTTTTCCCCATTTTTCCCATTTTCTCCACATTTTTCCCCCTTTTTCCCCTTCTTCCTCCTTCTTCCCCATTTTCCCCCATTTCCCCCCATTTTTTCCCATTTCCCCCTCCATTCTTTCCCAATTTTCCCCCATTTTCCCCCATTTTCTCCCCATTTTCCCCCCATTCTTTCCCATTTTTTCCCATTTTCCCACTTTCCCTTTGTTTTTTTCCCCAATTTCCCAGCAGGAATTTCCCTTTCCTGACCATCCCCAAACCCCCAGGGCAGGGAATCCCTCCCGCCTTGGATGGAAATTCAGAATTTGGGGCTCCTGGGGCCGATTCCCAGCGGATTTGGGGGGAAATTCGGGGAATTTTGAGTGGAATTTGGGGGGATTTTGGGGTGAATTTGGGGGATTTTGGGAGAATTTGGGGTGAATTTGGGGGATTTGGGGAGCCTGACTGGGGTTTTGTTGTTTTTTAGGGTACGGAGATTGGAACTCGGGCTCGAGCAGAGGCGAGTGTGGGAATTTCCTGCCCCTGGATCCATCCCCAGATCCCCTGGGAATCCTTTCCCAAAATTTCAGTTCCAAATTCCCGCCAGACCCAACCAAAAATCAGCGGCTTTGGAACGGCCGGGAGCTCGGAATTGGGGAATTCTGGAGTCCCAAAATCCCTGGGAACAGCCCCAAATTCTGTGGGAATGACCCCAAATTCCATGGGAATGATCCCAAATTCCATGGGAATGATCCCAAATTCCATGGGAATGATTGGGAATGGCCCCAAATTCCATGGGAACGACCCCAAATTCCATGGGAATTAACTGGGAATGATCCCAAATTCCATGGGAATGGCCCCAAATTCCATGGGAATGATCCCAAATTCCCAGTAAATTCTTAATTCCTGGTAAATCCTGGAGCTCTCCCGAATTCCCAGTGAATCCTGGGGAATCCCAAATTCCCAACAATTCCCATTAAATCCCCAATTCCCATTAAATCCCAGTGAGTCCCAAATTCCCAATAACTCCCATTGAATCCCCAATTCCTGGTAATTCCCAGTAAATCCCATTAAATCCTGAATTCCCGTTAAATCCCATTAAATCCCAAATTCCCAGTAAATCCTGGTGTATCCTGAATCCCCGTTAATTCCCATTAAATCCCAGTAAATCCCAAACTCCCGTTCAATCCCATTAAATCCCGTTAATTCCCATTCAATCCCATTAATTCCCATTAATCCCCATTAAATCCCGTTAATTCGCATTCAATCCCATTAATTCCAATTCAATCCCAGTGAAATCCCATTAATTCCCATTAAATCCCATTCAATCCCAGTAAATCCTGCTAATTCCCATTCAGGCCCATTAATTCCCATTAATTCCCATTAAATCCCATTCAATCCCAGTAAATCCCATTAAATCCCGTTAATTCCCATTCAATCCCATTAATTCCCGTTAATTACCATTCAATCCCAGTAATTCCCATTAATTCCCGTTAATTCCCATTAAATCCCGTTAATTCGCATTGAATCCCATTAATTCCCATTCAATCCTGTTAATTCCCATTAATTCCCATTCATTCCCATTCAATCCCATTCAATCCCATTCACTCCCAGTAATTCCCATTGATTCCCATTCAATCCCAGTCAATCCCATTAATTCCCATTCATTCCCATTCAATCCCAGTCAATCCCATTCACTCTCAGTAATTCCCATTGATTCCCATTCAATCCCTGTTAAATCCCAAATTCCCATTCATTCCCATTCAATCCCATTCAATCCCTGTTAAATCCCAAATCCCCATTAATTCCCATTCATCCCCTTTTCCCAGGATTCGAGGGCTATGCCTACGCCTACGCCTACGGCCCCGAGGGCTCCGGGGGCTTCGGCTTCGGGGCCGGGAATTCCTGGGAATTGGGGAACCCCGAGGCCAACGGGGCCCCCGAGGGCGGGGACGGCGCCGGGAAACAGCGGCAGGAGGCGGGAACCAGCGGGGGCACGGCCCCTGACAGGTGGGAATGTGGGAATATGGGATTATGGGAATATGGGATTAGGGGAATGGGGGAGCCGGGAAACAGCGGCAGGAGGCGGGAACCGGCGGGGGCACGGCCCCTGACAGGTGGGAATGTGGGATTATGGGATTGGGAATATGGGATTGTGGGAATGGGGGAGCCAGGAAACAGCGGCAGGAGGCGGGAACCAGCGGGGGCACGGCCCCTGACAGGTGGGAATGTGGGAATGTGGGAATATGGGATTGTGGGAATGGATATAGGGATTGGGAATGGGGGAGCCGGGAACCAGCGGGGGCGCTGCCCCTGACAGGTGGGAATGTGGGAATATGGGACTGGGAATATGGGAATATGGGAATGGGGGAATGGATATAGGGATTGGGAATGGGGGAGCCAGGAAACAGCGGCAGGAGGCGGGAACCAGCGGGGGCGCGGCCCCTGACAGGTGGGATTGGGATTATGGGATTGGGATTGTGGGAATATGGGAATGGGGGAGCCGGGAACCAGCGGGGTCCACCCGGGGGCTGCCCCCGACAGATGGGAATATGGGAATATGGGATTGGGATTGGGAATGGGGGAGCCAGGAACCAGCGGGGCCCACCCTGAGCAAGAGGGGGTGCAAGGACGGGGATACGGGGCTGCCCCTGAGAGGTGAGATTGGGATTGTGGGATTGGGATTGGGGGGGATTGGGAATGGGGGATTGGGAATATGGAATTGGGAATGGGGGAACCAGGATCCACCCTGAGGCCGAGGGAATGCAGGGACGGGGCTGCCCCTGACAGGTGGGAATGGGATTGGGATTGGGGGATTTGGATTGGGAATATGGGATTGGAAATGGGGGATTTGGAATGGCATTGGGAATATGGGATTGGATATATGGGATTGGGAATGGGGGATTTGGGATCCACCCTGAGAGCGAGGGGATGCAGGGACGGGGCTGCCCCTGAGAGGTGGGAATGGGATTGGGATTGGGGGATTTGGATTGGGAATATGGGATTGGGAATATGGGATTGGGGATGGGGGATTTGGAATGGGAATGGGAATATGGGATTGAGAATGGGAATATGGGATTGGATATATGGGATTGGGATTGGGGAACTGGAATCCACCCGGAGCAAGAGGGGGTGAGGGGACGGGGATACGGGGCTGCCCCCGACAGGTGGGATTGGGAATGGGATTGGAAATATGGGATTGGGAATTGGTACCAGAATTCCCAGTTTCCCCCCTCAGAATTCCCAAATTTCCCTGTCAGGTACGATCCCTACGAGTCCTACGGCGACTCCCACGTGAGCGACCACCGGGATCTGTACCGGGCATCCTTCGACTACCCCGGGGATTATCCCGGGGATTATCCCAACGATTATCCCAATGATTATCCCAATGATTATCCCAATGACTACCCCGATTATCCTAATGATTATCCCAATGATTACCCTAATGATTATCCCAATGATTACCCTGATTATCCTAATGATTACCCCAATGATTACCCTGATTATTCTAATGATTATCCTAATGATTATCCCGATTATCCCAATGATTATCCCAATGATTATCCCGATTTTCCCGATTATCCCAACGATTTTCCCAACGGCTCCGAGCCCGACTCCTCCTCCTCCTCCCTTGATTTCTACGGGCGCCGCCCCCGGCCCCGCCCCCGGCCCCGCCCCCGGCAATTCCCGCCCAAATTCCGGGACCCTTTGGGCCCCCGGGGCTGCTGGGGGGGCGGGGCCCGGGGGGCGTTCCCGGGGTTCCCCCACGCCCGGGGCCCCCCCCGGCGCCTCCTCCCGGCCCCGCCCCCGGCCCCGCCCCCGGCCCCGCCCCCGGCCCCGCCTGGCCCCGCCCACGGCCTCAAGAGGAGCAGGAGGGGCTGGAAGCTCTGGGACGCTGCCGAGGGCACGGTGAGTCCAGGGGTTTTCCAGAAATTTCTGGGGTTTTCCAGGATTTTCCATGATTTTCTAGAAGTTTCTGGGGTTTTCCAGAAGTTTCTGGGGTTTTCCAGGAGTTTTTGGGGTTTTTACGTGATTTTTCCATGATTTTTTCCGTGGTTTTTCTGTGTTTTTTCCATGGTTTTCCATCAGTGTTCATGGTTTTTATGTGGTTCTTCTATAATTCTTTCATGGTTTTCCCATGGTTTTCTAGGAGTTTTCGTGGTTTTTATGTGATTTTTCCATGATTTTCCCATGGTTTTCCATGGTTTTCCATGAGTTTTCATGGGTTTTATGTGATTTTTTTAATATGGTTTTTCTGTGGTTTTTCCGTGGTTTTTCTGTGGTTTTTCATGGTTTTTCTGTGGTTTTCCCATGGTTTTCCATGAGTTTTCATGGTTTTTATGTGATTTTTTAAATATGGTTTTTCTGTGATTTTTCCGTGGTTTTTCTGTGATTTTTCCGTGGTTTTTCTGTGGTTTTTCCATGATTTTCCATGGTTTTCCAGCAGTTTTTGTGGGTTTTATGTGTTTTTTCTATGATTTTCCCATGATTTTCCATGGTTTTCCAGGAGTTTTTGGGTTTTTTCCGTGATTTTTCCATGATTTTCCCATGGTTTTCCATGAGTTTTCATGGGTTTTATGTGATTTTTTCATGGTTTTTATGTGATTTTTTTCATGGTTTTTATGTGGTGTTTCCATGATTTTCCATGGTTTTCCAGCAGTTTTCATGGTTTTTATGTGATTTTTCCATGATTTTCCCATGGTTTTCCATGGTTTTTATGTGATTTTTTAAATGTGGTTTTTATGTGATTTTTCCGTGGTTTTTCTGTGGTTTTTCCATTATTTTCCCATGATTTTCCATGATAATTCCATGGGTTGCTGTGGTTTTCCATGAGTGTTCCATGGTTTTCCATAATTCTTTTGTGGTTTTCCCATAGTTTTCCATGACAATTCCATGGTTTTCCAGGAGTTTTCCCATGGTTTTCCAGGAGTTTTCATGGTTTTCCTGTGTTTCCCCCCAATTTCCCCCCATATATCCCCCAATTTCCCCCATACCCCCCCAATTTCCTCCTCATTTATTCCCCCATTTTCCCCATTTATTCCCCCCTTTTCACCCCAATTTCCCCCCTTTTTTCCCCATTTATTCCCCAATTTCCCCCCAATTTCCCCCCCATTTATTCCCCCATTTTTCCCCAATTTCCCCCCATTTTTCCCCATTTATTCCCCCATTTATTCCCCCACTTATTCCCCAATTGCCCCCCATTTGTTCCCCAATTTCCCCCTATTTCCCCCCATTCATTCCTCCATTTTTCCCAATTTCCCCCCTTTTCCCCCCATTTATTCCCCCATTTATTCCCCAATTTCCCCCATTTATTTCCCTATTTATTCCCCAATTTCCCCCCATTTTTTCCCCATTCATTCCCCCATTTATTCCCCAATTTTCCCCCCATTTATTCCCCCATTTCCCCCCCCTTTTCCCCCCAATTTCCCCCATTTATTCCCCCATTTATTCCCCATTTTCACCCCCATTTTTCCCCATTTATTCCCCAATTTTCCCCAATTTTTCCCCATTTCCCCCTCATTTATTCCCCAATTTCCCCCCATTCTCCCCCATTTATTCCCCCATTTTTCCCCCAATTTCCCCCTCAATTCACCCCCAATTTCTCCCCCAATTTCCCCCCATTTATTCCCCAATTTTCCCCCATTTTTCCCCATTTATTCCCCAATTTCCCCCCATTTCCCCCCATTTATTCCCCAATTCCCCCCCATTTGTTCCCCAATTTCCCCCTATTTCCCCCCATTCATTCCTCCATTTTTCCCAATTTCCCCCCTTTTCCCCCCGTTTATTCCCCCATTTATTCCCCAATTTCCCCCATTTATTTCCCTATTTATTCCCCAATTTCCCCCCATTTTTTCCCCATTCATTCCCCCATTTATTCCCCAATTTTCCCCCCATTTATTCCCCCATTTCCCCCCCCTTTTCCCCCCAATTCCCCCCCATTTTTTCCCCAATTTTCCCCAATTTCCCCCCATTTTTTCCCCATTCATTCCCCCATTTATTCCCCATTTTCACCCCAATTTTTCCCCCATTTCCCCCCATTATTCCCCATTTTTCCCCATTTTCACCCCATTCATTTCTCTCCCCCAGCCCCAGCGCAAGCGGCCCCGCCGTGACTCCGTGGGGCGGCGGCGCCCGCAGCCGAGCGGCTCCGAGGAGAGAGCGGGACCGACGGACGGGGCGGGACCGACGGACGGGGCGGGACCGACGGACGGGGCGGGACCGACGGACGGGGCGGGACCGACGGACGGGTCCGACAACTCCAGCTCTGATAACGGTGAGGGGGAAAGGGGAAATTCCAGTTCAGAACCCTGGGAATGATCCCAAAATTCCCAATTTATGGGGAGGAATTCTGGAATTCCAGCTCGGACAACGGTGAGGGGGGCACAAAGCCCTGATTTGGGTGGGGAGAGGGAAAATTCCAGTTCAGAATCCTGGGATTGATCCCAAATCCCCAATTTATGGGGAGGAATTCTGGAATTCCAGGTAAAAATCCTGGGATTGATCCCAAAATTTCCAATTTATGGGGAGGAATTCCAGATAGAAATCCTGGGATTGATCCCAAAATTCCAGAGTTTATCTCAGAATTCCAGTTCAGAATCCTGGGATTGATCCCAAATTCCTGATTTAGGGAGAGGAATTCTGGAATTCCAGCTAAAAACCCCGGGAATGGCCCGAAATTCTGGATTTAGGGAGAGGAATTCCAGTTCGAAATCCTGGGATTGATCCCAAATTCCCAATTTATGGGGAAGAATTCCAGCTAAAAATCCTGGGATTGATCCAAAATTCCCAATTTAGGGAGAGAATTCCAGTTAGAATTCGTGGGATTGATCCCAAAATTCCTGATTTAGGGGAAGAATTCCAGTTCAAAATCCTGGGATTGATCCCAAATTCCCAATTTATGGGGAGGGATCTCAGAATTCCAGTTAAAAATCCCGGGATTGGCCCCAAATTCTGGAGTTTATGGGGAGGAATTTTGGATTTCCAGCCCTGACAACGGTCAGGGAGATTTTGGCATCTGGGATTGGCCTCAAATTCCCAATTTAGGGGAAGGAATTCTGGAATTCCAGTTAAAAATATCCTGGGATTGGCCCCAAAATTCCTGATTTAGGGGGAGGAATTCTGGAATTCCTGCTCCGACAGCTCCAGCTCTGCCAGTGCTCAGGGGGGGACTGGAATGGGACAGAATTCCAAAGGTTATGGGGAGGAATTCTGGAAGTCCAGCTAAAAAATCAAAGGATTGGCCCCAAATTCCAAATTTATGGGGAGGAATTCCAGGTAAAAATCCTGGGATTGATCCCAAATTCCCGATTTAGGGAAGAATTCCAGCTAAAATCCCTGGGATTGGCCTCAAATTCCCAATTTAGGGAGAGGAATTCTGGAATTCCAGTTAAAAAAATCCCAGGATTTATCATAAATTCCAAAGTTTATGGGGAGAAATTCTGGGATTGATCCCAAAATTCCCAATATTTGGGGAGGAATTCTGGGATTCCAGCTCTGACAACTCCAGCTCTGGCAACGTCGGGGGGGAAAGGGGAAATTCCAGTTCAGAATCCTGGGATTGATCCCAAATTCCAGAGTTTAGGGAGAGGAATTCCAGTTCAGAATCCTGGGATTGATCCCAAAATTCCTGATTTAGGGAGAGGAATTCAGGAATTCCAGCTCTGACAACGGTCGGGGGGGAAAGGGAAAATTCCAGTTCAGAATCCTGGGATTGGCCCCAAATTCCCAACTTAGGGGAAGAATTTTGGATTTGCAGCTCAAGAAAATCTTGGGATTGATCCCAAATTCCCAATTTTTGGGATGAATTTTGGAATTCCAGTTAAAAATATCCTGGGTTTGATCCCAAAATTTCTAATTTAGGGGAGAAATTCTGGAATTCCAGCTAAAAATCCCAGAATTGGCCCCAAATTCCCAATTTATGGGTTGGAATCCCAGAATTCCAGTTCAAAATCCTGGGATTGGCCCCAAATTCCCAATTTTTGGGATGAATTCTGGAATTCCAGTGAAAAATCCTGGGATTGATCCCAAAATTCCAGTTCAAAATATCCTGGGATTGATCCCAAATTCCCTTTTTTTTTGGATGAATTCTGGAATTCCAGCTCAGCAAATCCTGGGATTTACCCCAAATTCTGGATTTAGGGGGAGAAATTCTGGAATTCCAGTTAAAAATCCCAGGATTGGCCCCAAATTCCCAATTTTTGGGATCAGTTTTTGATTTCCATCTCAGGAAATCCTGGGATTGATCCCAAATTCCCAAATTTTTTGGGATTTTTGTTCTTTTCCAGAGGAAGGCACGGAGGGGGAATCCGGAGAGAAGGACGAGTCCAGAGGGGTGAGAAAAATCCCGGAATTCTGGGAATTCCCAAAGATTTGGGGGAATTCCCAAAGGAATTCGGGTGGGGAGGGAAAATTCCGGGATTTCAGGGAGGAAATTTGGGAATTTTGGGGATTTTAGAAAGGGAAATTTCTGGGAATTTGGGATTTCAGGATGGAAATTCTGGGATTTTTGGGATCTCAGGGAGGGAAATTTTGGGATTTTTGGGATTTTAGAAAGAGAAATTTGGAATTTTTGGGATTTCAGGGAGGGAAAATCTGGGAATTTTTGGGATTTCAGGACGGGAAATTTGGGATTTGGGGATTTTTGGGATCTGGGAAAGGGAAATTTGGGATTTTTGGGATTTTAGAAAGGGAAATTCTGGAATTTTGGGATTTCAAAAAGGGAAATTCTGGGATTTTGGGATTTCAGGGAGGGAAATTTTGGGATTTTTGGGAATCTGGGGAAGGGAAATTCTGGAAATTTTGGGGTCTCAGGGAGGGAAATTTGGAATTTTTGGGATCTGGGAAAGGGAAATTCTGAGAATTTTTGGGATTTCAGGGAGGGAAATTTGGGAATTTGGGATGTCAGGAAGGGAAATTTTGGGATTTTTGGGTTTTCAGGGAGGGAAATTTTGGGATTTTGGATTTCAGGAAAAAAATTTGGGATTTTTGGGATTTCAGGGAGGGAAATTTGGAATTTTGGGGATTTCAAGGAGGGAAATTCTGGAATTTTGGGATCTCAGGGGGAAATTTGGGGATCTGTGAAAGGGAAATTCTGGGAATTTGGGATTTCAGGGAGGGAAACTTTGGGATTTTGGGATTTCAGGAAAGGAAATTCTGGAATTTTTGGAATCTGGGGAAGGGAAATTTGGGATTTTTGGGATTTTAGAAAGGGAAATTCTGGGAAATTTTGGGATTTCAAAAAGGGAAATTCTGGGAATTTTGGGATTTCAGGGAGGGAAATTCTGGAATTTTGGGATCTCAGGGGGGAAATTTGGGGATCTGTGAAAGGGAATTCTGGAATTTTTGGAATCTGGGGAAGGGAAATTTGGATTTTTGGGATTTTAGAAAGGGAAATTCTGGGAATTTTAGGGATTTCAGGGAGGGAAATTTGGGAATTTTGGGGTCTCAGGGAGGGAAATGTTGGGATTTTGGGAATCTGGGAAAGGGAAATTTCTGGGATTTTAGAATTCCCGAATTTTTGGTTTTTTCAGGAAGGGGAGGATGAAGAGGGAAGAGATTCTGAGAAAGGTGAGTTGGGAATTCCAGGGAAATTCCAGGGAAATTCCAGAGAAATTCCAGAGAAATTCCAGAGAAATTCCAGGGGAAATTCCAGAGAAATTCCAGAGAAATTCCAGGGAAATTCCTGGGGGCTTTTCCAGGGCTTTGGAGTGGAGGGAAAAGGGAAAATCCTGGGAATTTTGGGAATTTTGTTAATTCAGGGATCATGGGGGGGGAATCCAGGGAATTGCAGAAATTTGGGATCAGGGAGGATTTGGGGTTGGATTTCCTGGGATTTTGAATTTCTTTGGGAATTTTGGATTGAATTTCCTGGGATTTTGGGTTGGATTTCCTGGAATTTTGAATTCTCTGGGATTTTGGATTGAATTTCCTTGGGAATTTGGGCTGATTTCTTTGGAATTTGGGTTGGATTTCTGGATTTTTGGTCTGATTCCCTGGGATTTTGGGTTGAATTTCCTGGGAATTTGAATTTTCTTGAATTTGGGCTGATTTCTTGGGATTTTGGACTGATTTCCTTGGATTTTGGGTTGGATTCCCTGGAATTTTGAGCTGCTTCCCTTGGGTTGGATTTCCTTGAAATTTGAGTTTGGATTTCTTGGATTTTGGGTTGGATTTCCTTGGATTTTGGGCTGATTTCCTCGGATTTTCTGGGATTTTGGGCTGATTTTCTGGAATTTTGAGTTGGATTCCCTGGAATATTGAAATTGCTGGGAGTTTGGGTTAGATTTTCTGGGATTTGGGTTGATTTCCTTGGATTTTGAATTACCTTGGATTCAGGGCTGGATTCCCAGGGATTTTCCCAGGGATTTTCCCATTGATTTTCCCAGAATTCCCAGAATTCCCAAATTCCCATTGTTCCAGACGCCCTGGGCACTGCAGAGCAGAATTCCCGGATTTCCTGGGATTTTGGGCTGATTTCCTTGGATTCCCTGGGATTTTGGGTTGGATTCCCTGGGGTTTTGGGCTGGATTCCCAGGGATATTCCCAGAATTCCCGGAATTCCCGAATTCCCGTTGTTTCCAGGCGCCCTGGGGCACTGCCGAGCAGAATTCCCGGATTTTCCTGGGATTTTGGGCTGATTTTCTGGGTTTTTTGGGGCTGATTTCATTGGATATTCCCAGAATTCCCAGAATTCCCGTTGTTTGCAGGCGCCCTGGGCACTGCCGAGCAGAATTCCCGGATTTCCTGGGATTTTGGGCTGATTTTCCTGGGATTTTCAGTTGGATTCCCAGGATTTTGAGCTGCTTTTCTGGGATTTTTGGGGCTGATTCCCAGGGATATTCCCAGGGATATTCCCAGGGATATTCCCAGGGATATTCCCGAATTCCCGTTGTTCCAGGCACCCTGGGCCATTCCGAGCAGAATTCCCGGATTTCCTGGGATATTCCCATGGATATTCCCAGTGATATTCCCAGAATTCCCGTTTTTCCAGGCACCCGGGCCATTCCGAGCAGAATTCCCGGATTTCCTGGGATTTTGGGCTGATTTCATTGGATTTTGGGTTGGATTCCCATGGATATTCCCATGGATATTCCCAGTGATATTCCCAGAATTCCCGTTATTCCAGGCACCCTGGGCCATTCCGAGCAGAATTCCCGGATTCCCTGGGATTTTTGGGGCTGATTTCATTGGATTTTGGGTTGGATTCCATGGATATTCCCAGTGATATTCCCAGAATTCCCAGAATTCCCGTTGTTTCCAGGCACCCCGGGCCATTCCGAGCAGAATTCCGGATTTCCTGTGATTTTTGGGGCTGATTCCCAGAGATATTGCCAGAATTCCCGTTGTTTCCAGGCACCCTGGGCTATTCCGAGCAGAATTCCCGGATTTCCTGTGATTTTTGGGGCTGATTTCATTGGATTTTCCCAGGGATATTCCCAGAATTCCCGTTATTCCAGGCACCCTGGGCCATTCCGAGCAGAATTCCCGGATTTCCTGGGATATTCCCATGGATTTTCCCAGAGATATTCCAGAATTCCCATTTATTCCAGGCACCCCGGGCCATTCCGAGCAGAATTCCCGGATTTCCTGGGATATTCCCAGTTGGATTTTCCCATGGATTTTCCCAGAATTCCATTGTTTCCAGGCACCCTGGGCCATTCCGAGCAGAATTCCCGGATTTCCCATGGATTTTCCCAGTGATATTCCCAGTGATATTCCCAAATTCCCGTTATTCCAGGCACCCCGGGCCATTCCAAGCAGAATTCCCGGATTCCCTGGGATTTTTGGGGCTGATTTCATTGGATTATTCCCAAATTCCCATTGTTTCCAGGCACCCCGGGCCATTCCGAGCAGAATTCCCGGATTTCCTGGGATTTTGGGCTGATTTTCTGGGATTTTTGGGCTGATTTCATTGGATATTCCCAGTGATATTCCCAGAATTCCCGTTATTCCAGGCACCCCGGGCCATTCCGAGCAGAATTCCCGGATTTCCCAGCCGGGCCGGGGGCTCCAGGCCGGGAGGAGGCCCCAGGAGCGGCCGAGGAAGCGGCACCGGGACCGAATGGTCGAGAGGTGGGGACGCCTGGAATTCTCCCCTTTTTAGGGAATTTCCACCCTTTTTAGGGAATTTCCACCCCTTTTTAGGAATTCTTTTCCTTTTTAGGGAATTTCCCCCTTTTTTTAGGGATTTTTTCGTTTTATTTTGGGGATTTCCCCCCATTTTTTAGGGAATATTTCTGCTTTTAAAGGGATTTTTTTCATCTTTTAATGGATTCTTTCCCTGTTTCCCATTCCCATTTCCCCCCCTTTCCCCCATTTTTCCCAATTCCCATTTTCCCATTTTCCTCCTATAATTTCCCAATTTTCCTCCCATAATTTCCCCATTATTTCCCCATTATTCCCCATCATTTCCCCCATCATTTCTCCATAATTTCCCCCATTATTCCCCCATTATTTCCCCCATGTTATCCCCATTATTCCCCCATTATTCCCATTATTATTGCCATTATTTCCCCATTATTTCCCCATAATTTCCCCCATTTTTCCCCATTATTCCCCCATAATTTCCCCATTTTCCCCATATTTCCCCATAATTTCCCCCATTTTTCCCCCATTATTCCCATTATTATTCCCATTATTTCCCCCGTTTTTCCCCCTAATTTCCCCCATAATTTCCCCCATATTTTCCCCATCATTTCCCCATTTTCCCCCATTTTTCCCCCATTTTCCCCCATATTTCCCCCATTTTTCCCATTATTATTCCCCATTATTATCCCCATTATTATCCCCATTATTATTCCCATATTAATTATCCCCATTATTATTCCCATTATTAATTATCCCCATTATTATCCCCATTATTATCCCCATTATTAATTATCCCCATTATTAATTATCCCCATTATTAATTTTCCCCATTATTATTCCCATTATTAATTATCCTCATTATTAATTATCCCATTATTATTATCCCCATTATTAATTACCCCCATTATTAATTATCCCCATTATTAACTATCCCCATTATTAATTATCCCCATCATTAATTATCCCCATATTTTCCCCATCCCAGGATCCAGTTCGTTTGCTCTCTCTGTAAATTCCGGACGTTTTTTGAGGATCAGATCCGGCAGCACCTGCACAGCAAATTCCACCGGGAGCTGCTGCAGTTCTGGGCTGCAAAATGCCCCAGCAAACGGCCCGGTTCCTGCAGGTGCCTTCGGCCTCATCATCATCTTCATCATCATCCTCATCCTCATCATCCTCAGCCTCCTCATCCTCATCCTCATCCTCTCCCCTTTTCCCATTTCCACTTCCTGGGCTGCAAAATGCCCCAGGACACGGCCAGGTTCCTGCAGGTGCCTTCAGCCTCATCCTCATCCTCATCATCATCCTCATCCTCATCCTCATCCTCCCCTTTTCCCATTTCCCACCAAACTGCCCCAGGACACGGCCCGGTTCCTGCAGGTGCCTTCGGCCTCATCATCATCATCCTCATCCTCATCATCATCATCATCCTCCTCATCCTCGTCCTCATCCTCATCCTCTCCTCTTCCCATTTCCCACCAAACTGCCCCAGCAAACGGCCCAGTTCCTGCAGGTGCCTTCGGCCTCATCATCATCATCATCCTCATCATCCTCATCCTCCTCCTCCTCCTCCCCTTTTCCCATTCCCACTTCCTGGGCTGCAAACTGCCCCAGGCAACGGCTCAATTCCTGCAGGTGCCTTCGGCCTCATCATCATCTCATCCTCATCATCATCCTCATCATCCTCATCCTCATCATCCTCATCCTCCCATTTCCCACCAAACTGCCCCAGGACACGGCCCGGTTCCTGCAGGTGCCTTCAGCCTCATCATCCTCATCATCCTCATCCTCATCATCATCATCCTCCTCATCCTCATCCTCCTCCCCTTTTCCCATTCCCACTTCCTGGGCTGCAAACTGCCCCAGGACACGGCTCGGTTCCTGCAGGTGCCTTCAGCCTCATCATCCTCATCATCATCCTCTGCTCTTCCTCATCCTCCTCATCCTCATCCTCATCCTCCTCTTCCTCCCCTTTTCCCATTTCCACTTCCTGGGCTGCAAACTGCCCCAGGACACGGCCCGGTTCCTGCAGGTGCCTTCGGCCTCATCATCATCATCATCCTCAGCCTCCTCATCCTCATCATCCTCATCATCCTCCTCCTCCTCCCATTTCCCACCAAACTGCCCCAGGCCACGGCCCGGTTCCTGCAGGTGCCTTCAGCCTCATCATCATCATCATCATCATCCTGCTCTTCCTCATCCTCATCATCCTCATCATCCTCATCCTCATCCTCCTCTTCCTCCCCTTTTCCCATTTCCAGTTCTGCCCCAAACTGCCCCAGGACACGGCCCGGTTCCTGCAGGTGCCTTCGGCCTCATCATCATCATCATCATCCTCCTCCTCATCATCCTCATCATCGTCATCCTCATCCTCCTCATCCTCATCATCCTCATCCTCATCCTCATCCTCATCATCCTCATCCTCATCCTCATCATCCTCTCCTTTTCCCATTCCCACTTCCTGGGCTGCAAACTGCCCCAGGCCACGGCCCGGTTCCTGCAGGTGCCTTCGGCCTCATCATCCTCATCATCCTCAGCCTCATCATCCTCATCATCATCCTCATCCTCATCATCCTCATCATCCTCATCCTCATCCTCATCCTCATCCTCCTCCCCTTTTCCCATTTCCACTTCCTGGGCTGCAAACTGCCCCAGGCAACGGCTCAATTCCTGCAGGTGCCTTCGGCCTCATCATCATCATCATCATCCTCATCCTCCTCATCCTCATCATCCTCCTCCTCTGCTCCTCTTCCTCTCCTTTTCCCATTTCCCACCAAACTGCCCCAGGACACGGCTCAATTCCTGCAGGTGCCTTCAGCCTCATCATCCTCATCATCATCCTCATCCTCATCATCCTCATCATCCTCATCCTCATCCTCATCCTCATCCTCATCATCCTCATCATCCTCATCATCATCCTCCTCATCCTCATCCTGACATCCTCATCCTCATCATCCTCATCCTCTTCCCTTTTCCCATTGCCAGTTCTGCCCCAAACTGCCCCAGGCAACGGCCCGGTTCCTGCAGGTGCCTTCAGCCTCATCCTCATCCTCATCATCCTCTGCTCTTCCTCATCCTCATCCTCCTCATCCTCCTCTTCCTCATCCTCCTCTTCCTCATCCTCATCCTCATCCTCATCCTCCTCCTCCTCTCCCCTTTTCCCATTTCCACTTCCTGGGCTGCAAACTGCCCCAGGACACGGCCCGGTTCCTGCAGGTGCCTTCAGCCTCATCATCCTCATCCTCCTCATCCTCCTCTTCCTCATCCTCCTCTTCCTCATCCTCATCCTCATCCTCATCCTCATCCTCCTCATCCTCCTCATCCTCATCCTCATCCTCCTCATCCTCTTCTTCCTCTCCTCTTCCCATTCCCACTTCCTGGGCTGCAAACTGCCCCAGGCAACGGCTCAATTCCTGCAGGTGCCTTCAGCCTCATCATCATCCTCATCCTCTTCTTCCTCCTCATCCTCCTCTCCTTTTCCCATTCCCACTTCCTGGGCTGCAAACTGCCCCAGCAAACGGCCCGCTTCCTGCAGGTGCCTTCGGCCTCATCCTCATCCTCCTCATCCTCCTCATCCTCCTCATCCTCCTCATCCTCTCCCCTTTTCCCATTTCCATTTCCCACCAAACTGCCCCAGCCCACGGCCTGCTTCCTGCAGGTGCCTTCGGCCTCCTCCTCTTCCTCTGCTCTTCCTCTGCTCTTCCTCTTCCTCCTCTCCTTTTCCTCCTTTCCCTGTTTTCCCTTTCCCTCCTCTTCCTCTCCTTTCCCTCTCCCCTTTTCCCATTTCCACTTTGTGGGCACTGAGCTGAGCTCCTGCAGGTGCCTCCTCTTCCTCCTTCCTCTTCCTCTTCTTCCTCCTTCCTCCTCCTCTTCCTCCTCTTCCTACTCCTCTGCTCTTCCTCCTCTTCTTCCTCTTCTTCCTCTCCTTTTCCTCCTCTTTCTTTCCCTGATTTCCCTTTTCCCATTCCCAGTTCTGCCCCAAACTGCCCCAGCCCATGGCCCAGTTCCTGCAGGTGCCTTCGGCCTCCTCCTCTTCCTCTTCCTCCTCCTCTTCCTCTTCCTCCTCCTCTTCCTCCTCTTCCTCTGCTCTTCCTCTCCCCTTTTCCCATTTCCATTTCCCACCAAACTGCCCCAGGCAACGGCTCGCTTCCTGCAGGTGCCTTCGGCCTCCTCCTCCTCCTCCTCTTCCTCCTCCTCCTCTTCCTCTTCCTCCTCTTCCTCCTCTTCCTCCTTTTCCCACTTTTCCTTTCCCCTGATTTCCCTTCTCCCTTTTCCACCTCGTGGGCCCCAAACTGCCCCAGTTCCTGCGGGTGCCTCCTCCTCTTCCTCTCCTTCCTCTCTTCCTCTTCCTCCTCTTCCTCCTCTTCCTCCTCTTCCTCCTCTTCCTCCTCTTCCTCCTCTTCTTCTTCCTCCTCTTCCTCCCCTTCCTCTCCTTTTGGGATGATCTCAGGGAATTCCCTGCAGGAGGGAATTGGGGATTTTTGGGATGATCCCAAGGAATTCCCATGGAATTTTGGGGTGCTGATCCCAGGGAATTCCTGTGAGGATTTTTGGGATAACCCCGGGATCCCTGCAGGGGGAATTGGGGATTTTTGGGATAATCCCAGAGAATTCCCGTGGAATTTGGGATAATCCCAGGAATTCCTGCAGGGGGAATTGGGGATTTTTGGGATAATCCCAGGGAATTCCCATGGAATTTGGGATAATCCCAGGATTCCCGCAGGAGGAATTGGGGATTTTTGGGATGATCCCAGGGAATTCCGATGGATTTTTGGGATAATCCAGGAATTCCTGCAGGGGGAATTGGGGATTTTTGGGATGCTGATCCCAGGGAATTCCTGTGAGGATTTTTGGGATAGGCTCAGGGAATTCCCATGGATTTGTGGGATAATCCCAGGGAATTCCCATGGAATTTGGGATAATCCCAGGAATTCCTGCAGGGGGAATTGGGGATTTTTGGGTTGCTGATCCCAGAGAATTCCCATGGAATTTGGGATAATCCCAGGATTCCCTCAGGAGTACGTGGCCAACAAGACGCGGAAGACGGAGCAGCGGCGCCGCGGGATCCGGGACATCAACGCCGTGATCCAGCAGATCCAGAGGGAGCAGGACCTGACCCAGGGTACCCAAAAAAACCCCCAAAAAAACCCAAAAATCCATCCCAAAAAAACCCCAAAATCCTGGGAATGGGGCTGGGAATTCCCAGAGCCCGAAAAACCCCAAAATTCCCCCCAAATCCCCCCAAAATCCCGGGAATGGGGCTGGGAATGGGATTTGGGAATGGGAGATGCAGAGGGAGCAGGACCTGACCCAGGGTACCCAAAAAAAACCCCAAAAAACCCCAAAAATCCTGGGAATGGGGCCAGGAATGGGATTTGGGGAGTTCCTCACAGGATTTGGGGGATTCACGCCTGGGAATGGGATTTGGTGATCCCAGAAGAATTCCTGATCCCATTCCCTGATCCCAGATCCCTGATCCCTGATCCCATTCCGTGATCCCATTCCCAGATCCCTGATCCCATTCCCTGATCCCAGATCCCATTTTTTGATCCCTGATCCCTTCCCCTGATCCCAGTTTTTGATCCCATTTTTTGCTCCCATTCCTGATCCCATTCCCTGATCCCATTCCCAGATCCGTGATCCCAATTTTTGCTCCCATTCCCAGATCCCATTTTTGCTCCCTGATCCCATTCCGTGATCCCATTCCCAGATCCCATTTTTTGATCCCATTCCCTGATCCCATTTCCTGTCCCGTTCCCAGATCCCATTCCCTGATCCCAGATCCCATTCCCAGATCCCTGTTCCCATTTTTTGATCCCAGTTTTTGCTCCCTGATCCCATTCCCTGATCCCATTCCCTGATCCCATTCCCTGATCCCATTTTTTGATCCCATATTCCCTGATCCCATTCCCCGATCCCCGCTCCCATTTTTTGCTCCCTGATCCCATTCCCTGATCCCATTCCCAGATCCCATTTCTGATCCCATTCCCTGATCCCAGTTTTTGCTCCCATTCCCTGATCCCATTCCCTGATCCCAGTTTTTGCTCCCATTCCCTGATCCCATTCCCTGATCCCATTTTTTGCTCCCTGTCCCCATTCCCTGCTCCCATTTCTGATCCCATTCCCTGTCCCATTCCCAGATCCCATTCCCAGATCCCATTCCCTGCTCCCATTTCTGATCCCATTTCCTGTCCCATTCCCAGAGCTGGGCCTGGAGCATTTCCTGCGCCGGGTGGAGGCCGCTCACTGCTCTGCCTGCGACCTCGTGATCCCCATGCACCAGGGCTGCATCCAGAGGCACCTGAGATCCACCGAGCACGGCCACAACCGCAGGGTGAGCATGAAATATCCATGAAATATCCATGAAATATCCATGAAATATCCCTGGGATCCACAAAAAATCTGGGAATTTATACTGGGATTCATAAAAACCCTGGGATTGACACTGGGATCCATTGGGATCCATCCAGAGGCACCTGAGATCCACCGAGCACGGCCACAACCGCAGGGTGAGCACAAAATATCCATGAAATATCCATGAAATATCCCTGGGATCCACCAAAATACTGGGAATTTATATTGGGATACACTGGGATCCACCAAAACCCTGGGGATTCACACTGGGATCCATTGGGATGCACCCAGAGGCACCTGAGATCCACTGAGCACGGCCACAACCGCAGGGTGAGCACAAAATATCCATGAAATATCCATGAAATATCCCTGGGATCCATAAAAATACTGGGAATTTACATTGGGATACACTGGGATCCACCAAAACCCTGGGGATTTACTCTGGGATCCATTGGGATGCACCCAGAGGCACCTGAGATCCACGGAGCACGGCCACAACCGCAGGGTGAGCACAGAATATCCATGAAATATCCATGAAATATCCCTGGGATCCATCAAAATACTGGGAATTTATACTGGGATTCATAAAAACCCTGGGGATTCCCACTGGGATCCACCCAGAGGCACCTGAGATCCACCGAGCACGGCCACAACCGCAGGGTGAGCACGAAATATCCATGAAATATCCATGAAATATCCATGAAATATCCATGAAATATCCATGAAATATCCACGAAATATCCATGAAATATCCTTGGGATCCACCAAAAATCCTGGGAATTTACATTGGGATCCATCAAAACCCTGGGGATTCCCACTGGGATCCATCCAGAGGCACCTGAGATCCACCGAGCACGGCCACAACCGCAGGGTGAGCACAAAATATCCATGAAATATCCATGAAATATCCATGAAATATCCCTGGGATCCATAAAAATACTGGGAATTTACATTGGGATACACTGGGATCCACCAAAACTCTGGGGATTCACACTGGGATCCATTGCCAGGAAAATCCCCTGGAATCCCCAGGAAAATCCCCTGGAATTCCGTGGAAAATCCCCAGGAATTCCCTGGATTTGTGCCCTGACCCCCTGGAATCCCCCCAGAATTCCCAGAATTCCCTGAAAAATCCCCTAGAATTCCCTTGGAATCCCCTGGATTTGTCTCCCAATCCCTGGAATTCCCTGGAAAATCCCCATGAAAATCCCCTGGAATCCCCTGGAATTCCCAGAATTCCCTGGAATTCCATGAAAATCCCCTGAAATTCTTTGGAATTCCCCTGTAAATCCCCTGGAAAATCCCTGGAATTCCCTGGATTTGTGCCCCGACCCCCTGGAATCCCCCCAGAACTCCCAGAATTCCTGGAATTCCATGCAAATCCCCTGGAAATTCCCCTGGAATTCCCTAAAAATCCCATGAAAATCTCCTGGAATTCCGTGGAAAATCCCTAAAAATCCCCTGGAATTCCCTGAAAATCCCCAGGAATCCCCATGACAATCCCCTGGAATATCCCCTGGAATTCCCTGAAAATCCCCAGGAATTCCGTGGAAAATCCCTAAAAATCCCCTGGAAAATCCCCAGGAATTCCCTGGATTTGTGCCCCAACCCCCTGGAACCCCCCAGAACCCCCAGAATTCCCTGAAACCCCTGGAATTCCATGAAAATCTCCTTGAAAATCCCCTGGAATCCCCTGGAATTCCCTGGAATTCTCTCACATCCCCTGGAATCCCCTGGAATCTCCCCTGGAATTCCCTGGATTTTGTGTCCCAATCCCTGGAATTCCCATGAAAATCCCCATGAAAATCCCCAGGAATTCCCTGGGATTTGTGCCCCAATCCCCTGGAATCCCCAAAATTCCCTGGAATTCCATGAAAATCCCTGAAATTCTTTGGAATCCCCATGAAAATCTCCTGGAATTCCCTGGATTTTGTGTCCCAATCCCTAAAAATCCCCTGAGAATTCCCTGGAAATCCCCTGGAAAATCCCCTGGAATTCCCTGAAAAATCCCTAAAAATCCCCTGGAATCCCCTGGAATTCCCATGTAAATTCCCTGGAAAATCCCCTGAAATTCCCTGGATTTGTGCCCCAACCCCCTGGAATCCTCCAGAATCCCCTGGGATTCCATGAAAATCTGCTGGAATCCCCTGGAATTCCCAGAATTCCCTGGAAAATCCCCATGAAAATGCCCTGGATTTGTGTCCCAATCCCTGAATTCCTTGGAATTCCCCATGAAAATCCCCTGGAATTTCCTGGATTTGTGCCCCAATCCCCTGGTAAACCCCCTGGAATCCCCCCAGAATTCCCTGAATTCCCTGAAAAATCCCCTGGAATTCCCTAAAGATCCCCTGGATTTCCTGGAATCCCCTGGATTTCTGTCCCCAGCCCCTTTTTCCCAAGGAATTTCCCTGGATTTTGTCTCCCAATCCCTAAAAATCCCCTGAGAATTCCCTGAAAATCCCCATGAAAATCCCCATGAAAATCCCCTGGATTTGTGTCCCCAACCCCCCAGAACCCCCCAGCACCCCCGGCATTCCCAGAATTCCATGGAAATTCGGGATTTTTCCAGGCCATGCTGGATCAGGCCAGGCGGGCGGCGCTGGCGGTGGCGCGGAGCATCCTCAACAACCGCGGCATCGGCCGCCAGCTCCAGAGCTTCCTGCAGGTGCGGATTTTTGGGAATTCTGGGAATTTTGGGAATTTTCTGGGAATTTTTGGGAATTTCTGGGGATTTTGGGGGGATTTTCTGGGAATTTTGGGGGTTTTTGGGAAGTTTTGAGGGATTTTTTGGGGATTTTTGGGGAATAATCTGGATTTTTGAGGGATTTTTGGGGAATAATCTGGATTTTTGAGGGATTTTTGGGGAATATTCTGGATTTTTGAGGGATTTTTTTGGGGAATAATCTGGATTTTTGAGGGATTTTTTTGGGGATTTTTGGGGAATATTCTGGATTTTTAAGGGATTTTTTGGGGGATTTTTGGGGAATATTCGGGATTTTTAAGGGATTTTTTGGGGGATTTTTGGGGAATATTCGGGATTTTTAAGGGATTTTTTGGGGGATTTTTGGGGAATAATCTGGATTTTTAAGGGATTTTTTGGGGGATTTTTGGGAATAATCTGGATTTTTGAGGGATTTTTTGGGGGATTTTTGGGGAATAATCTGGATTTTTGAGGGATTTTTTGGGGGATTTTTGGGGAATAATCTGGATTTTTAAGGGATTTTTTTGGGGGATTTTTGGGGAATAATCTGGATTTTTGAGGGATTTTTTGGGGGATTTTTGGGGAATATTCGGGATTTTTGAGGGATTTTTTGGGGGATTTTTGGGGAGTAATCTGGATTTTTGAGGGATTTTTTGAGGATTTTTGGGGAATAATCTGGATTTTTAAGGGATTTTTTGGGGGATTTTTGGGGAATATTCTGGATTTTTAAGGGATTTTTTGGGGAATTTTTGGGGAATAATCTGGATTTTTAAGGGATTTTTTTTGGGGATTTTTGGGGAATAATCTGGATTTTTAAGGGATTTTTTGGGGGATGTTTGGGGAATATTCTGGATTTTTGAGGGATTTTTTGGGGGATTTTTGGGGAATAATCTGGATTTTTGAGGGATTTTTTTGGGGATTTTTGGGGAATATTCGGGATTTTTAAGGGATTTTTTTGGGGGATTTTTGGGGAATAATCTGGATTTTTGGGGGATTTTTTGGGGGATTTTTGGGGAATAATCTGGATTTTTGAGGGATTTTTTGGGGGATTTTTGGGGAATAATCTGGATTTTTAAGGGATTTTTTGGGGGATTTTTGGGGAATAATCTGGATTTTTGAGGGATTTTTTTGGGGGATTTTTGGGGAATAATCTGGATTTTTGAGGGATTTTTGGGGAATAATCTGGATTTTTAAGGGATTTTTTTGGGGATTTTTGGGGAATAATCTGGATTTTTGAGGGATTTTTTTGGGGGATTTTTGGGGAATATTCTGGATTTTTAAGGGATTTTTTGGGGGATTTTTGGGGAATATTCGGGATTTTTAAGGGATTTTTGGGGGGATTTTTGGGGAATAATCTGGATTTTTAAGGGATTTTTTGGGGGATTTTTGGGGAATATTCTGGATTTTTAAGGGATTTTTTGGGGGGATTTTTTGGGGAATAATCTGGATTTTTAAGGGATTTTTTTGGGGGATTTTTGGGGAATAATCTGGATTTTTGAGGGATTTTTTTGGGGATTTTTGGGGAATAATCTGGATTTTTAAGGGATTTTTTGGGGGTTTTCAGGGGAGTTTATCAGGAATGTTTTGGAATTTTGAGGGGTTTTTTTGGGAATTTTCTGGGATTCTTTGGGAAATTTTGGGGGTTTTCTTTGAATTTTCGGGGTTTGGGAAGATTTTTGGGAATTTTCTTGGAATTTGGGGTTCTTTTTGGGAATTTTGGGGGATTTGGGGGAGTTTGGGGGGAGTTTGGGGGCATTTTTGGATTTTTAAGGGATTTCTTGGGGGTTTTCGGGGGGGGGTTGGGAATTTTTGGGGTTTTGGGAGGATTTTTGGGAATTTTCTGGGATTTTTGGGGAATATTTCAATTTTTTGGGGGGAATATTTTGATTTTTTCAGGATTATTTTGATTTTTTTGGGAAACATTTTGGGTTTTTTGGGACTATTTTGCAGTTTTGTGGGTGATTTTCGGGACTATTCCCATTTTTCTCTGGATTTGGGGCATTTGGGGGGTGGGAATTCCTTCTTGGGAGGCTCCAAATGGGGAAAATTTGGGGGAATTTTTGGGAAATTTCGGGGAAAATTTGGGGGAAATTTTGGGAAATTTGGGGGAAATTTTTGCGGAATTTTTGGGAAATTTTGGGGGAATTTTTTTCCAGGGGGAAAATCCATTCACGGACGATGGCGAGGACAAGGAGGAGAACGAGGAAGGAGCCGGGCAGGAAAATGCCCAGGAAAATCCCCAAAATCCCATGGAAAATCCTGAAAATCCCATGGAAAATCCCACAGAAAATCCCCAGGAAAATTCCACAGAAAATCCACAAGAAAATCCACAAGAAAATCCAGAAAATTCCACGGAAAATCCTGAAAATTCGACGAAAAATCCCCAAAATCCTGAAGAAAATTCAGAAAATTCCACAGAAAACAATCCCCAAAATCCAGAAGAAAATCTGGAAAAATCCACGGAAAATCCAGAAAGTTCCACAAAAAAGCCCCAAAATCCTGAGGAAAATCCGGAAAATTCCACGGAAAATCCCCCAAATCCTGAGGAAAATTTGGAAAATTCCACAGAAAATCTGGAAAATTCCACGAAAAAGCCCCAAAATCCCAAAGAAAATCCAGAAAATTCCACAAAAAAGCCCCCAAATCCTGAGGAAAATCCGGAAAATTCCACAGAAAATTCCATGGAAAGGCCCCAAAATCTCCAGGATTCTGAGGAAAATCCGGAAAATTCTGCGGAAAATGAAAATTCTGAGGGAATTTCAGCAGCCAAAAAGGAGGAAAAGGGACCAGGGAGGAATCCAGAGGTGGAAAATTCCCAAAATTCCCAAATTTCCCCAAATTCCCCGAATTCGGAGGCGGCGCCGGAGCCGCCGGAGGGAGAGGAAAGTTCTGGAAGGGCCCAGGAGTGAAAACCCTGCAGGGAAAAGGGACCGGAAACGGCCCCGGGGATTCCTGAGGGGAAAATTGGGAATTCTGGGGAAAATTGGGAATTCTGAGGGGAAAATTGGGAATTCTGAGGGAAAAATTGGGAATTCTGAGGGGAAAATTGGGAATTTTAGTGGGATTTTTGAGAATTCCTGGGGGAAAAAGGGAATTTTCTGGGATTTTTTGGGAAATTCCTGGGAATTCTGAGGGGAAAATTGGGAATTCTGAGGGGAAAATTGGGAATTTTCTTGGATTTTTGGGAATTCCCAGAGAAAAAAAGGGAATTTTGTGGGATTTTTTTGGAAATTCCTGGGAATTCTGAGGGAAAAATTGTAAATTTTGGTGGAATTCTTGGGAAAAAAGGGAATTTTGTGGGATTTTTTGGGAAATTCCTGGGATTTCTTTGGGAATTCTGAAGGGAAAATTGGGAATTTGGGTGGAATTTTTGGGAATTCCCAGAGAAAAAAAGGGAATTTTTTTTGGATTTTTTTGGAAATTCCTGAGAATTCTGAGGGAAAAAATTGGGAATTTTCTTGGATTTTTGGGAATTCCCAGAGAAAAAAAAGGGAATTTTGTGGGATTTTTTTGGGAAATTCCTGGGATTTCTTTGGGAATTCTGAGGGGAAAATTGGGAATTTGGGTGGAATTTTTGGGAATTCCCAGAGAAAAAAAGGGAATTTTTTGGGGATTTTTTTGGAAATTCCTGGGAATTCTGAGGGAAAAATTGGGAATTTGGGTGGAATTTTTGGGAATTCCCAGAGAAAAAAAGGGAATTTTGTGGGATTTTTTGGGAAATTCCTGGGATTTCTTTGGGAATTCTGAGGGAAAAATTGGGAAATTCCTGGGAAAAATTGGGAATTTTGGTGGAATTTTTTGGGGAAATTTCTTGGGGGAAAAAGGGAATTTCCTTGGGTTTTCTGGGGGAATTTCCATTCGATTTTTCTGGAATTCTTTTGGGTTTTTTTGAAATTTCTGGGAAAAAAACCCCAATTTCCTGGGATGTCTTTGGGAATTCTGAAGGAAAAATGGGGAATTTTGGTGGAATTTTTGGGAATTCCTGAGGAAAAAAAGGAATTTCTTTGGGAATTCTTGGGGAAAAAATGGGAATTTTGTGGGGTTTTTTGGGAATTCTTGGGAAAAAAGGGAAATTCCTGGGATTTTTGGGAATTTCCAGTTGGGATTTTGGGAATTTCCAGTTGGGATTTTGGGAATTTCCACTTGGGATTTTGGGAATTTCTATCTGGGATTTTGGGGATTTCCAGCTGTGAATTTTGGGAATTTCCCGCTGGGATTTGTGGGAATTTTCCCCCCTTTTTCCCCTCAGGATTGGGGATTTTTCCAGGTGTTCCAAGGCTGGGATTTCTCCCCCAGGATTTCCTGTGGCTCTGGCTCCCTTTTCCCGATGTTTTCCTGCTGTTTTCCTGTCGTTTTTGCCCATTTTTGCCCATTTTTGCCCCATTTTCCCGCTGTTTTTCCCTTCCCTGGAGCGTTCGGTGCCGTTGTGTCCGTTGTGAACGGGAGGAAATTCCCGAAGTTTCTGTGGATTTTAAAGGACTCGACCTCAGCTCATCCCGAATTTCTCATCTTTGGAAAAGCCTCAAAACGCCAAATTCCCGATTTTTTTTTGGGTGCTGGCGTGGGTGGAATCGGGAATTTCCTGCCCAAAATTGGGAATTTGGGACCCAGGAATGGCCCTGAGGGAGGGAATGGGGATTTGGGGTTTGGGATGGGGAAATTCCGGCCAGAAAAGGGAAAATTCCTTCAGGAATGGGGAAATTCCTTCAGGAAAAGGGAAATTCTCCTCAGGAAAGGGAAATTTCCCTTCAGAAATGGGGAAATTCCAGCCAGAAATGGAAAAATTGCTTCAAGATTGGGGAAATTCCTGCCAGGAATTGGAAAGTCCCTTCAGGAAAAGGAAAATTCTCCTCAGGAAAGGGAAATTTCCCTTCAGGAATGGGGAAATTCCACTCAGGAATGGAAACGGGATGGAGAAAAGGGATGGAAAAAATAGGAAAAAACAAAAGGAAAAGGGATGGGGGAAAATGATGGGAAAGGGAGAGAAAAGAATGGGGAAGAAATGGGAGAAAGAATGGGAAAAAAAAAGGACGGGGGAGGAGGAAAAAGGATAGAAAAAATAATGGGAAAAGGGATGGAAAAAGGGATTTGGGGACCCTGTGAGGGAATTTGGGGACACTGTGAGGGGATCTGGTGGCCCTGAGGGGATTTGGGGACATTTTCAGGGGATTTTGGGATACTGTGAGGGATTTTTGTGGACCCTGAGGGGATTTGGGGACATTTTGAAGGAATTTAGTGACACTCTGAGGGGATTTGGGGACACTGTGAAGGAATTTGGTGCCCCTGAGGGGATTTGGGGATACTATGAGGGGCTTTGAGAACACTTTGAGGGGATGTGGGGTCCGTGAGGGGATTTGGGGACGCTGTCACTGAGTGGCTGGGGACACTCACTGTGAGGCACTGGGGACATTGTCACTGGGAGGGGCCGCTCCGGGGCCATTCGAGGCCGCTCGGGAGCTGTTTCAGGGCCTGGCCGGGCCCATTCCGGGTTCGCTTCGGGGCCGTTCCTCTCCCGGCCCCGGGGACTCCATGGCGGCCCCTCCTTCCCCTCACCGCCAGTCCCGCGGGGCCGTCCAATCAGGAGCCAGAACGCCCGTGATTGACAGGCCGTGCCCTCAGGGAGGAAGCACCTCCACCAATCAAATCAAGGGCGGGAACCAGCCTGAGCAATGGGAGCTGCGGGCGGGGCCGCGCCGCTGAGGAGATCAACCAATCAGGAGTGGTGTGGGCGGGGCCAAACAGGAGGAGGGCGGTGGTGCGCGTGCGCAGGCGGCTGAGGCGGGCGGTGAAGCGGCGGCGGCTCCGGGTGGAGGTGGCGGCGATGGAGCCGGGATACGGCGGTAAGCGCCGGGCAGGACGGCCCCGCGGTGCTGCCGCTCCCCCGGGATGGCGGTGGCTCCTTCCCCATGCTGCCTCAGCACCGGTTTCGTTACCGGCGGGTGCTGAGGGGGGGCTCCGCCGCAGCGGGAAGCACAGCGCCCGCCCCCCTGTGAGGCGCCGGCGCCGCTGATTGGCTGAGCGCCACGTCACTCACCGCTAGGGCGGCGCTGATTGGCTGTTAGGGGCTAAGGGGGGGTCGTGCCCTGAGGGGGGACCGGGGGGGGCGGAAATGGCGCCGGGCCCATTTCTGAAGACGACACAAAATGGCGGCCGCGGCCCCGCCCCCGCCGCCTGTGCCTCAGTTTCCCTCGTCCTGGCCCGTCCCAACTGTGGCGGCACGGGAGGGGCGCCTCGTGTTCCTTCCTTGAGGGTCCTGTGCTCTTCCCAGGACGTCCCGTGGCCCCTCCTGAGGTGATCCCTGTCCCTTCCTCAGGGGATCTCCCTTGGATCGCCCTCTGGATCTACCCTGGAAATTTCCTCAGGATTCCCCCTGGAAATTCCCTGCTTCTTCCCTCAGGATTCCCTCTGGAATTTCCCCGTGGATTCCCCCTCAGAATTCCCCTGGATCCCCTCAGGATCCCCCTGGATCCCCTCAGGATCCCCCTGGATCCCCTCAGGATTCCCTCTGGAAATTCCCCTGAATCCCCTCAAGATTTCCTCTGGAAATTTCCCGTGGATTCCCCCTCAGAATTCCCCTTGGATCCCCTCAGGATCCCCCTGAATCCCCTCAGGATCCCTCTGGAATTTCCCCTGGATTCCTCAGCCTGGCAAAAGAGATCAGAAGAGAGCAAATCCACCCTGATTATTTTTTTATTTTGTTTTTTTTAGCATTATTCATCCCAGGCTTGGCTTCTTTCCCAGGCTCACTTTGGATTTTGGGGCAGGATTTGGGATCGGGGCTGGATTTCACTATCAGGGTTGGATTTCAGGGCTGGATTTTGGGATCGGGACTGGAATTTGAGGCTGGAATTTGGGATCAGGGCTGGAATTTGGGATTGTGCCCAGGACAAGTGGGAATTTTCCCTTCCCTGCTGACAGCTCCTCCTTTTCCCCAGGCTACGGCACCTGGAGCACCGGGGCCACCGGCACCCAGGGTGAGATTTTCCCAACTTTTCCTCAACTTCTCCTTTTTTCCCCTCCTTTTCCTTCTTCCCCCATTTCCACCCCTTTTTTCTCCCCTTTCCCCCCATTTTTCTCCCATTTTTCCCCCATTTCCCTCCAATTCCCCCCTTTTTTTCTCCAATTTCCCACCCCCATTTCCTTCTAATTTTCCCCACTTCCCCCCCCATTTTTCTCCCATTTTATTCTTCTTTTCTCTCATTTTCTCCCCTTTTCTCCCTCATTTTTCTCCCCTTCCCCCCCCCCATTTTCTCCCATTTTCCCCTCATTTTTCTTCCCATTTTTCTCCCATTTTCCCCCTTTTTCTTCCCATTTTTCTCCCCTTTCCCCCTTTTTCTTCCCATTTTCCCTGCATTTTTCTCCCATTTCCCCCCATTTTTCTCCCACTTTTCCCCATATTTCTTCTCATCCCCTTCCCCCCCTTTTTTCCCTATTTTTTCCCCATTTTCCCACTCTTTTTTCCCACTTTCCCATCCCACTCCATCCCAAACTCCCAAAACCTCTTCACCCCCAACCCCTTTTCCCCTCTTTTCCTCCTTTTTCCTGGAAAACCCAGCAGAATTCCATCCAAATCCCTCTTTTCCCCAAAATCCCAAACATTTCAGCCCAAATCTCAGCATTTCCCATTAAAAATTCCCTTTTTTCCCCATTTTTCCAGGTTCCTATGGCACCAACACCAGCAGCTGGCAAGGTGGGTGTGAGGGCTCAGATCCTTGGGAATCTGGGAATTCCCAATTCCCAAATTCCACCTCTTTTCCTGCCTTTTTCCCTTTTCCCCCTTTTTTCCCATTTTTCTTCTTTTTTTCCTCATTTTTCCCTGATTTCCTCGTTTTTTTCCTCCTTTTCCCCTCCCTTTTCCCAGATTTTTCCTATTTTTCCCTCATTTTCCTTCCCTTTTCCCCATTTCCCTTCATTTCTTCCTCATTTTTCCCTCACTTTTCTCTAATTTTTCTTGTTTTCCCCTCATTTCCCCATTTTTTCCTCCTTTTCCTCTCCCTTTTCCCAATTTTTTCCTATTTTTCCTTCATTTTCCTTCCCTTCTTCCCTTTCCCCCTTTTTCCCCCCTTTTCCCCCCCCATTCTTCCCTCATTTTCCTCAACATTTTCCTCCTTCCCCCCCATTTTTCCCTCATTTTTCTCAATTTTTTCCCCCATTTTCCTCTCCCTTTTCCCAATTTTTCCTCTTTTCCCTCATTTTCCTTCCCTTTTTCCCATTTTCCCCATTTTCCCTCCCATTTTTTTCCTTCTTTTTCCCCCTTTCCTCCCTCCCTTTATTCCACACTTTTTCTGTGGATTCTCCTGCTGGGCTCCCACCCCTCCAAATCTTTAATTCCCCCTCAATGTCCCCCTCATTAATTAATTAATTAATTACCAAATTAACCCCTTACTCCCCATGCAATGAAGGTTATGGGTTCTATACCCCTAAATCCCCTTGGGATCCTCTCAGGCCTTGGGATCACCCCAGGGCTTTTCCTGCCCATCTCCCACCCCTGTAACTCCTCAATCCCCCCGTTAATGACCCCCTCATTAATTCATTAATTAACTAATTAACCCCTTATTCCCCATGCAATGAAGGTTATGTGTTCTGCACCCCTAAATCCCCTTGGGATCCCCCCAGGGTTTGGGATCCCCCCAGGGTTTGGGATCCCCCCAGGGTTTGGGATCACCCCAGGGTTTTTCCTGCTGGGCTCCCACCCCTGTAACTCCTCAATCCCCCCCTTAATGACCCCTTAATTAATTCATTAATTAACTAATTAACCCCTTACTCCCCATGCAATGAAGGTTATGGGTTCTACACCCCCTAAATCCCCTTGGGATCCCCCCAGGGTTTGGGATCCTCTCAGGCCTTGGGATCACCCCAGGGTTTGGGATCACCCCAGGGCTTTTCCTGCTGGGCTCCCACCCCTGTAACTCTGTAATTCCTTCCTTAATGACCCTCTAATCAGTTAATTAATTAACTAATTGATTAATTACTCCCAGACTGAGAGTTATGAGTTCTACACCCCCTAAATCCCCTTGGGATCCTCTCAGGGTTTGGGATCCCCCCCAGGGTTTGGGATCCCCCCAGGGTTTGGGATCACCCCAGGGTTTTTCCTGCCCATCTCCCACCCCTGTAACTCCTCAATCCCCCCTTAATGACCCCCTCATTAATTAATTGATCCCCTCATTAATTAATTAGCCCTAATTACCGCATTTCCCTCAGGCTTCAAGGGTTACGAGTTCTACACCCCTAAATCCCCTTGGGATCCCCCCAGGGTTTGGGATCCCCCAGGGTTTGGGATCCCCCCAGGGTTTGGGATCCCCCCAGGGTTTGGGATCACCCCAGGGTTTTTCCTGCCCATCTCCCACCCCTGTAACTCCTCAATCCCCCCCTTAATGACCCCCTCATTAATTAATTGACCCCCTCATTAAGGCATTTCCCTGCAGGGTTTGAGGGTTACGAGTTCTACACCCCTAAATCCCCTTGGGATCACCCCAGGGTTTGGGATCACCCCAGGGTTTGGGATCACCCCAGGGCTTTTCCTGCTGGGCTCCCACCCCTGTAACTCCTCAACCCCCCGGTTAATGACCCCTTAATTAATTCATTAATTAACTAATTAACCCCTTACTCCCCATGCTCTGAAGGTTATGGGTTCTACACCCCCTAAATCCCCTTGGGATCCTCTCAGAGTTTGGGATCCCCTCAGGCCTTGGGATCCCCCCAGGGCTTGGGATCACCCCAGGGTTTTTCCTGCTGGGCTCTCACCCCTGTAACTCCTCAATCCCCCCTTAATTACCCTCTAATCAGTTAATTAATTAACTAATTGATTAATTACTCTCCATGCAATGAAGGTTATGGGTTCTGCACCCCCTAAATCCCCTTGGGATCCACTCAGGCCTTGCGATCCCCCCAGGGTTTGGGATCCCCCCAGGGCTTTTCCTGCCCATCTCCCACCCCTGTAACTCCTCAATCCCCCCCTTAATGACCCCCTCATTAATTAATTGACCCCCTCATTAATTAATTACCCCTAATTACCGCATTTCCCCGCAGGCTTCGAGGGTTACGAGTTCTACACCCCTAAATCCCCTTGGGATCACCCCAGGGCTTTTCCTGCTGGGCTCTCACCCCTGTAACTCCTCAATCCCCCCCTCAATGACCCCTTAATTAATTCATTAATTAACTAATGAATTAATTACTCTCCATGCAATGAAGGTTATGGGTTCTGCACCCCTAAATCCCCTTGGGATCCTCTCAGGCCTTGGGATCACCCCAGGGTTTGGGATCCCCCCAGGGTTTTTCCTGCTGGGCTCCCACCCCTGTAACTCCTCAATCCCCCCCCTCAATGACCCCCTCATTAATTAATTAATGACCTAATTAACCCCTTACTCCCCATGCAATGAAGGTTATGGGTTCTACACCCCCTAAATCCCCTTGGGATCCTCTCAGGGTTTGGGATCCCCCCAGGGTTTGGGATCCCCCCAGGGTTTGGGATCCCCCCAGGGTTTTTCCTGCTGGGCTCCCACCCCTGTAACTCCTCAATCCCCCCTTAATGACCCCTCATTAATTAATTAATGACCTAATTAACCCCTTATTCCCCATGCTCTGAGGGTTATGGGTTCAAAACCCTTAAATCCCCTTGGGATCCTCTCAGAGCTTGGGATCACCCCAGGGTTTTTCCTGCCCATCTCCCACCCCTGTAACTCCTCAACCCCCCCGTTAATGACCCCTCATTAATTAATTAGCCCCCTCATTAATTAATTAGCTCCTAATTACCGCATTTCCCCGCAGGCTTCGAGGGTTACGAGTTCTACACCCCTAAATCCCCTTGGGATCACCCCAGGGTTTGGGATCCTCTCAGGCCTTGGGATCCCCCCAGGGTTTGGGATCCCCCCAGGGTTTGTGATCACCCCAGGGCTTTTCCTGCCCATCTCCCACCCCTGTAACTCCTCAATCCCCCGTTAATGACCCTTCATTAATTAATTAATGACCTAATTGAAGGCATTTCCCCGCAGGCTTCGAGGGTTACGAGTTCTACCCCTCGCAAAGCTCCGCCCCCTCAGGAGCCTCCTCCTACAGCTACGGGGGAGGGGCGGCCCCGGCCGGATCCTGGGACCCTCCCAAGGCTGAGCTGGGGCTGGGATCCACCGAGGGATCCACTGGGGCCTCGGGAGCCGCCTTCGGATCGGGATCCACCTTTGGAGCAGGGTCTGGAGCTGCCTTTGGGTCGGGATCCACCTTTGGATCAGGATCCACCTTTGGAGCGGGATCTGGAGCAGCCTTTGGATCGGGATCCACCTTTGGAGCAGGGTCTGGAGCAGCCTTTGGGTCGGGATCCACCTTTGGAGCTGGGTCTGGAGCTGCCTTCGGATCGGGATCCACCGGATCCAGCTTTGGATCAGGGTCTGGGACCACCTTTGGGTCAGGAGCCGCTTTTGGATCAGGATCTGGAGCCGCTTTTGGATCAGGATCTGGAGCCGCTTTTGGATCAGGATCTGCTGGATCCACCTTTGGATCAGGCTCAGGATCCACCTTTGGATCAGGATCTGGAACCACCTTTGGATCAGGATCTGGAACCACCTTTGGCTCAAGCTCAGGATCCACCTTTGGATCAGGATCTGGAACCGCCTTTGCCTCAGGCTCCGCCTTTGCCTCAGGCTCTGGATCCACCTTTGCCTCGGGATCTGCTGGATCCACCTTTGCCTCGGGATCCACTTTTGCCTCGGGATCTGGATCCACTTTTGCCTCGGGCTCTGCCGGATCCACTTTTGCCTCGGGCTCCGGATCCGCCTTTGCCTCGGGCTCCGCCCTGGGCTCCTCGGGCTCCTCCAACCCCGACTCCATCATCGCCAAGATCAACCAGAGGCTGGACCTGCTGGCCAAGGAGGGCAGCGCTGGGGACGGGCCTGAGCAGCACCACAGGTAATTAGCGCTAATTAACCCTAATTACACCTCATTAGCAACGAATTCCCCCTTTTCTCCCTTCATTTTTGGGGTTTGGGGGGCGTTTTTTGAGGTTTCCTCCCAGAATTTTGTTGTTTGCCCAAGGTTTGGAGTGGTCAGGAAAGGTTTAGTCTGGAATTTTAGGGATTTTTTGGGGGGATTTTAGCGATTTCTGAGGGATTTTTTTGGGGGGATTTTTTGGGATTTTTTGGGGAATTTTAGGGGGAAATTTAGGGATTTTTTGGGGATTTTTTTAGGGGAATTTTAAGGATCTTTTTGAGAATTTTAGGAATTTTTGGGGGAATTTTAGGGATTTTTTGGGATTTTTTTGTGGAATTTTAGGGATTTTTTTTGGAATTTTTCGGGATTGTTTTGGCAATTTTGGGGATTTTTTTTGAGAATTTTAGGGATTTTTTGGGAACTTTTTTGGGAATTTTAGGGATTTTTTGGGGAATTTTAGGGATTTTTTTGGGGAATTTTTTGGGACTTTTTTTGAGAATTTTTTGGGACTTTTTTGGAGAATTTTAGGGATTTTTTTGGGGAATTTTTTTTTCGGAATTTTATGGATTTTTTGCGAATTTTAGGGATTTTTTTGGGATTTTTTTTTTTGGAATTTTATGGATTTTTTGCGAATTTTAGGGATTTTTCTAGGACTTTTAGGGATTTTTTAGGGGTTTTAGGGATTTTGGGCAATGAGGGTTTCAAAGGAGCCCAGATCAACCAAAGGCTGGAGCTGCTGGCCAAGGAGGGCAGCGCTGGGGATGGCCCCGAGCAGCACCACGGGTAATTAGCGCTAATTAACACCTCATTAACACCTCATTAGCAACGAATTCCCCGATTTTCACCGTCTTTTTTGGAGTTTTGAGCCGTTTCCTTGAGGTTTCCTCCTAAAATTCCGCTCTTTCCCCAAGGCTTGGAGCGGTTACGAAAAGGTTTAATCTCCAATTTTAGGCTTTTTCTGGGAAAATTTTTGGGATTTTAGGGAATTTTGGGAATTTTAGGAATGAGACAGGAAGGTTTAGTCTCCAATGTTAGGGTTTTTCTGGGAAAATTCCTGGGATTTTGGGCAATGAGGGTTTCAAAGCAGCCCAGATCAACCAGAGGCTGGAGCTGCTGGCCAAGGAGGGCAGCGCTGGGGATGGCCCCGAGCAGCACCACGGGTAATTAGCGCTAATTAACACCTCATTAACCCCTAATCCCTCCCTTTCCCTGTCATTCCTGGAGTTTGGGGTCAGTTTTTGGTGGTTTTTGATGGTTTTGGCTCAAAATTCCAGCCCTAATCCTGATTTATTCCCATTTTTTCTGCCCTAATCCTGATTTATTCCCATTTTTCTTGCTCTAATCCCAATTTTATTCCTCTTTTTCTTACTCTAATCCAAATTTTCTTCCCATTTCTCCAGGATAAGAAGGAATCCCAGCCCTAATCCCAATTTTATCCCCAATTTCCACCCTCCCATTCCCACCTCTAATCCCATTTTTCTCTCTCTCTTTTCCAGCTCCTTCCACTCCGACTCCTTGGGCTCCTTCTCCTCCACTTGGGATTCCCAGGATCCCTTCCCCTTCTTCAACCTCCCCATTCCCAGCCCTAATCTTGGTTTTTATCCCCATTTTTCTTGCTCTAATCCCAATTTTACTCCCATTTCTCCAGGATAAGAAGGGATCCCAGCCCCTATCCTTATTTATCCTCAATTTTCCCCCCATTTTCCCATCTCTAATCCCATTTTTCTCTCTCTCTTTTCCAGCTCCTTCCGCTCCAACTCCTTGGGCTCCTTCTCCTCACGGGATTCCCGGGATCCCTTCCCCTTCTTCAACTCCCCCATTCCCAGCCCTAATCTTGGTTTTTATCCCCATTTTTCTTGCTCTAATCCCAATTTTACTCCCATTTCTCCAGGATAAGAAGGGATCCCAGCCCTAATCCCAATTTTCACTCTCCCATTCCCAGCTCTAATCCTGATTTTACCCCCATTTTTCAGCCTCCTATTTCCATCTCTAATCTCAATTTTATCTCCAGTTTTCAGCCTCCTATTTCTGGCTCTAATCCTGATTTTACCCCCAATTTTCAACCTCCCATTCCCAACCCTAATCTTGGTTTTTATTCCCATTTTTCTTGTTCTAATCCCAATTTTATTCCCATTTCTCCAGGATAAGAAGGAATCTGAACCCTTACCTGATTTATCCCCAATTTCCAACCTCCCATTCCCAGCTCTAATCCCAATTTTATCCCCAATTTCCAACCTCCCATTCCCAGCTCTAATCTTGGTTTTTATCCCCATTTTTCCACCTCCCATTCCCATCTCTAATCCCGATTTTATCCCCAATTTCCACCCTCCCATTCCCACCCCTAATCTTGATTTTCTCTCTCTCTTTTCCAGCTCCTTCCGCTTCGACTCCCTGGGCTCCTTCTCCTCGCGGGATTCCCGGGATCCCTTCCGGGGGGGGGCTCAGACCATGGGGATCCCTTTGGAGCCCCCCCCCCCAAACCGGGTCCCCTTTGGAGCCCCCTTGGGCCGGGCATTTCTCTTGCCCTAATCTTGGTTTTTATCCCCATTTTTCTTGCTCTAATCCCAATTTTATTCCCATTTCTCTTGCCCTAATCTTGGTTTTTATCCCCATTTTTCTTGCTCTAATCCCAATTTTATTCCCATTTCTCCAGGATAAGAAGGAATCCCAGCCCTTATCTGATTTATCCCCATTTTCCAATCTCCTATTTCCAGCTCCAATCTCGATTTTATCCCCAGGTTTCAGCCTCCCATTTCCGGCTCTAATCCTGATTTTACCCCCAATTTTCAACCTCCCATTCCCAGCTCTAATCTCGATTTTATCCCCAGGTTTCAGCCTCCCATTTCCGGCTCTAATCCTGATTTTACCCCCCTTTTTCCACCTCCTATTTTCAGCTCTAATCCTGATTTTACCCCCAATTTTCAACCTCCCATTCCCATCTCTAATCCCATTTTTCTCTCTCTCTTTTCCAGCTCCTTCCGCTCCGACTCCTTGGGCTCCTTCTCCTCGCGGGATTCCCGGGATCCCTTCTGGGGGGGTTTGGATCTTGGGGATCCCTTTGGAGCCCCCCCCTGGGACCCCTTTGGCTCCCCTGGGATCCCTTTGGAGCCCCCTTGGGCCGGGCATTTCTCTTGCCCTAATCTTGATTTTTATCCCCATTTTTCTTGCTCTAATCTCAATTTTCTTCCCATTTCTCCAGGATAAGAAGGAATCCCAGCTCTAATCCCGATTTTATCCCCAGTTTTCAGCCTCCTATTTCTGGCTCTAATCCTGATTTTACCCCCAATTTTCAGCCTCCCATTCCCATCTCTAATCCCAATTTTCCCCCCATTTTCCCACCCCTAATCTTGATTTTCTCTCTCTCTTTTCCAGCTCCTTCCGCTTCGACTCCTTGGGCTCCTTCTCCTCGCGGGATTCCCGGGATCCCTTCCGGGGGGGTTCAGATCATGGGGATCCCTTTGGGGCCTGTGGGGATCCCTTTGGCTCTCATGGGATCCCTTTGGCTCTCCTGGGATCCCTTTGGAGCCCCCTTGGGCCGGGCATTTCTCTTTCCCTAATCTTGGTTTTTATTCCCATTTTTCTTGCTCTAATCTCAATTTTCTTCCCATTTCTCCAGGATAAGAAGGAGTCCCAGCCCTTATCTCAATTTTCAACCTCCCATTCCCAACCCTAATCTTGGCTTTTATCCCCAATTTTCAACCTCCTATTTCCAGCTCTAATCTCAATTTTATCTCCAGTTTGCAGCCTCCCATTCTCATCTCTAATCCTGATTTTATCCCCAGTTTTCAATGGTTTTTATCCCCATTTTTCAACCCCATATTTCCATCTCTAATCCCAATTTTCCCCCCATTTTCCCACCCCTAATCTTGATTTTCTCTCTCTCTTTTCCAGCTCCTTCCGCTTCGACTCCTTGGCTCCTTCTCCTCTTGGGATTCCCGGGATCCCTTCCGGGGGGGTTTGGATCTTGGGGATCCCTTTGGCTTTCATGGGATCCCTTTGGAGCCCCCTTGGGCCGGGCATTTTTCTTGCCCTAATCTTGGTTTTATTCCCATTTTTCAATCCCATATTTCCAGCTCTAATCTCGATTTTGTCCCCAGTTTTCAGCCTCCTATTTCCAGCTCTAATCTTGATTTTTTCCCATTTTTCAGCCTCCCATTCCCAGCTCTAATCCTGATTTTACCCCCAGTTTTCAACCTCCCATTCCCAGCCCTAATCTTGGTTTTTATTCCCATTTTTCTTGCTCTAATCCAAATTTTACTCCCATTTCTCCAGGATAAGAAGGGATCCCAGCCCTTACCTGATTTATCCCCAATTTCCACCCTCCCATTCCCACCCCTAATCTTGATTTTCTCTCTCTCTTTTCCAGCTCCTTCCGCTTCGACTCCCTGGGCTCCTTCTCCTCACGGGATTCCCGGGATCCCTTCCGGGGGGGGGGCTCAGATCATGGGGATCCCTTTGGGGCCCCCCCCCCAAACCGGGTCCCCTTTGGGGCCCCCTCCCCGCGCTGCCCCCCCCGGGCCGCCCTGGCCTCTCCCCGTTCCCGCTGCCCCCCCCGCGGCCGCCGCCTCCCGGAGCCGTTCCCGGCCCCTTCCCCGCGCTGGGGCTGCCCCCGGGCCTGCCCTCGCTCTTCTCCCAGGCCCTGGAGTACCCTGGGGATTACCCTGGGGATTACCCTGAGTACCCTGGGATTACCCTGAGTACCCTGGGGATTATCCTGGGGATTATCCTGGAGATTTTCCCGGAGATTTTCCCGATTTTCCCGGCGATTTTCCCGATTTTCCCGGCGATCCGGGGGCGCCCCCATGGGCCGAGGCCCCTTTGGCCTCAGGAGGAGGGAGAGGATGGGAGCCCTGCCCTGGAACGGCCTGCACGGGGTGAGTGCTGCCTCTTCTCCCACTTTTTCACCATTTTCCCCCATTTTCCCAACTTTTGCCCCATTTTCCCCATTTCCCCCCTAATTTCCCCATTTTCCCCCATTTCCCCCCATTTCCCCCATTTTTCCCCATTTCCCCATTTTTTCCCCATTTCCCCCCCATTTTCCCCATTTTCTCCATAATTTCCCCCATAATTTCCCCCATTTTCCCCCATTTTCCCCCATTTTCCCATATTTCCCCCATTTATCCCCATTTCTCCCCCATTTCCCCCCATTTTTCCCCATTTCCCCATTTTCCCCCATTTCCCCCCTAATTTCCCCATTTTATCCCCATTTTCCCCCATCATTTCCCCCATCATTTCCCCCATCATTTCCCCCATCATTTCCCCCATCATTTCCCCCCTAATTTCTCCATTTTCCCCCATATTTTCCCCCATATTTTCCCCATTTCTGCCTCTTTTATCCCCATTTTCCCCCCATAATTTCCCCATTTTTCCCCATTTCCGCCATAATTTTCCCCCTAATTTCTCCATTTTATCCTCATTTTTCCCCCATTTTATCCCCATAATTTCCCCATTTTTCCCCCATTTTCCCCATTTATCCCCATTTTATCCCAATTTTCCCCCATTTCTGCCCCTTTAATTCCCATTTTCCCCAATTTCTGCCCCATTCATCCCCATCCCTTTCCCTTTTATCCCCATTTTCCCCCATTTTCCTTCATTTTATTCCCATTTTCCCCCATTTTCCCCCATCATTTCCCCCATTTCCCCCCATCATTTCCCCCCATTTTCCTGCATAATTTCCCCCCTAATTTCTCCATTTTATCCTCATTTTATCCTCATTTTCCCCCATTTTTCCCCCATTTTATCCCCATAATTTCCCCCCTAATTTCCCCCATTTTATCCCCATAATTCCCCCATTTTATCCCATTTCCCCCATTTATCCCCATAATTTTCCCCATTTTATCCCCATTTCCCCCCATTTTTCCCCATTTCCCCCATAATTTCCCCCCTAATTTCTCCATTTTATCCCCACATTTTCCCCCATATTTCCCCCCATTTTTTCCCCATTTCTGCCTCTTTTATTCCCATTTTTCCCTCATATTTTCCCCCATTTTTTCCCCATTTTCCCCCATTTATCCCCATATTTCCCCTCTGTTCCTGTCCCAGGGTCGTCGCCGGGGGCTCCGCGCTCGCTCCGGGGGGCGCTGGGAGCCCGAGGGGCCTCGCAAACGGAAACGCTCGGGGAACGAGACTGGGAATGATGGGAATGAAACTGGGAATGACGACGGGAATGATGGGAATGAAACTGGGAATAACAACGGGAATGAGCCCGGGAATGATGGGAATGAAACCGGGAATGAAACCGGGAATGACAACGGCAACGAGGAGCCCAAACAGCCCCAGAGCGACAGCGACTGCGAGCACGGTACCGGGGATTATGGGAATTTCCAGCCTTGATTCCTGAATCTCCAGCTTTTCCTGGGAATTTCCAGCCTTTCCTTCTCCATTTCTGACCTTTATTCCTGAATTTCTGCCCTTGATTCCTGAATTTCTGACCTCTATTCCTGAATTTCCGGCCTTTATCCCTCCATTTCCAGCCTTGATTCCTGAATTTCCAGCTTTTCCTGGCAATTTCTCAGCCTTTATTCCTGAATTTCTGACCTTTATTCCTCCATTTCTGACCCTTATTCATGAATTTCCGGCCTTTATTCCTGAATTTCTGACCTTGATTCCTCAATTTCTGACCTTGATTCCTCCATTTCCAGCCTCTATTCCTGAATTTCTGCCCTTTTCCTGAATCTCCAGCCTTTATTCCTCTATTTCTGACCTTTATTCCTGAATTTCCAGCCTCTATTCCTGAATTTCTGACCTTGATTCCTCCATTTCTGACCTTGATTCCTGAATTTCTGCCCTTGATTCCTGAATTTCCGGCCTTTATCCCTCCATTTCCAGCCTTGATTCCTGAATTTCCAGCTTTTCCTGGCAATTTCTCAGCCTTTATTCCTGAATTTCTGACCTTGATTCCTCCATTTCTGACCTTGATTCCTGAATTTCTGCCCTTTATTCCTGAATTTCTGACCTTGACTCCTGAATTTCTGACCTCTATTCCTGAATTTCTGACCTTGATTCCTCAATTTCTGACCTTGATTCCTCAATTTCTGACCTTGATTCCTCAATTTCTGACCTTTTCCTGGGAATTTCCAGCCTTTCCTTCTCCATTTCTGCCCTTTTCCTGAATTTCTGCCCTTTATTCCTGAATTTCTGATCTTTATTCCTGAATTTGTGACCTTTTCCTGAATCTCCAGCCTCCATTCCTGAATTTCTGACCTTGATTCCTCCATTTCTGACCTTTATTCCTGAATTTCTGACCTTGATTCCTGAATTTCCAGCCTCGATTCCTGAACTTCTGCCCTTTATCCCTCCATTTCCAGCCTCAATTCCTGAATTTCTGACCTTTATTCCTCCATTTCTGACCTTGATTCCTGAATTTCTGCCCTTTATTCCTCCATTTCCAGCCTTGATTCCTGAATTTCTGACCTTGATTCCTGAATTTCTGCCCTTTATTCCTCCATTTCCAGCCTCCATTCCTGAATTTCTGACCTTTATTCCTGATTTTCCAGCCTCTATTCCTGAATTTCTGACCTTTATTCCTCCATTTCTGACCTTGATTCCTGAATTTCTGATCTTTATTCCTGAATTTCTGACCTTGATTCCTGAATCTCCAGCTTTTCCTGGGAATTTCCAGCCTTTGCTTCTCCACTTCCAGCCTTTATTCCTCCATTTCCAGCTTTTTCGGGGAATTTCCAGCCTTTGCTCCTCCATTTCTGCCCTTTTTTCCTGGCTGTTTCCAGCCTCTATTCCTGAATTTCTGACCTTTACTCCTCCATTTCCAGCTTTTTCTAGGAATTTCCAGCCCTTATTCTGAATTTCCAGCCTTGATTCCTCCATTTCCAGCCTTTATTCCTCCATTTCTGACCCTTTCCTGAATTTCCAGCCTTTTCCTGGCAATTTCCACCCTTTATTCCTCCATTTCTGCCCTTTATTCCTGAATTTCTGCCCTTTATTCCTGAATTTCTGACCTTGATTCCTGAATTTCTGACCTTTTCCTGAATCTCCAGCCTTGATTCCTCCATTTCTGACCTTTATTCCTGAATTTCTGCCCTTGATTCCTGAATTTCTGACCTTGATTCCTGAATTTCCGGCCTTTATCCCTCCATTTCCAGCCTTGATTCCTGAATTTCCAGCTTTTCCTGGCAATTTCTCAGCCTTTATTCCTGAATTTCTGACCTTGATTCCTCCATTTCTGACCTTGATTCCTGAATTTCTGATCTTTATTCCTTAATTTCCAGCCTCTATTCCTGAATTTCTGACCTTTATTCCTGAATTTCTGACCTTGATTCCTCCATTTCTGCCCTTTATTCCTGAATTTCCAGCTTTTTCTGGCAATTTCCAGCCTTTGCTTCTCCATTTCCAGCCTTTATTCCTCCATTTCCAGCCTTTTCCTGGGAATTTTCAGCCTTTTTCCATCACCTTCTGCCTTTGTTTCCTGACCATTTCCAGCCTTTTCTCCTCAATTTCCAGCCTTTATTCCTCAATTTCTGCCCTTTATTCCTGAATTTCCAGCCTTGATTCCTCCATTTCCAGCTTTTCCTGGCAATTTCCAGCCTTTATTCCTGATTTTCTGACCTTTATTCCTCCATTTCCGGCCTTTATTCCTCCATCTCTGCCCTTTATTCCTTAATTTCCAGCTTTTTCTGGGAATTTCCAGCCTTTTCCTGGCAATTTCCAGCCTTGATTCCTCCATTTCTGCCCTTTATTCCTGAATTTCCAGCTTTTTCTGGGAATTTCCAGCTTTTCCTGGCAATTTCCAGCCTTTATTCCTCCATCTCTGCCCTTTATTCCTGAATTTCCAGCCTTTATTCCTGAATTTCCAGCCTTTATTCCTGAATTTCCAGCTTTTTCTGGGAATTTCCAGCCTTTATTCCTCCATTTCCAGCTTTTCCTGGGAATTTCCAGCTTTTCCTGGAAATTCTGCCCTTTTTTCCTCAATTTCCAGCTTTTTCCTGAATTTCCAGCTTTTCCTGGCAATTTCCAGCCTTTATTCCTCCATTTCTGCCCTTTATTCCTGAATTTCCAGCCTTGATTCCTGAATTTCCAGCTTTTTCTGGGAATTTCCAGCCTTGATTCCTCCATTTTTCCCTTTATTCCTCCATTTCCAGCTTTTTCTGGGAATTTCCAGCTTTTTCCTGGGAATTTCCAGCCTTTCATCCTCCATTTCCAACATTTTTTCCTCATTCCCAGCCTTTTCGCCTGAATTTCTGCCTTTGTTTCCTGACCATTTCCAGCCTTTATTCCTTCATTTCCAGCTTTTTCTGGGAATTTCCAGCCTTTATTCCTCCATTTCTGACCTTTATTCCTGAATTTCCAGCCTTTATTCCTCCATTTCCAGCCTTTGCTCATCCATTTCTGCCCCTTTTTCCTGAATTTCCAGCTTTTTCTGGCAATTTCCAGCCTTTATTCCTCAATTTCTACCCTTTTTCCTCAGTTTCTGGCTCTGTTTCCTGGGAATTCTGCCCTTTTTTCCTCCATTTCCAGCCTTTATTCCTGAATTTCTGCCCTTTTTTCCTCAAATTCTGGCTCTGCTTCCTGGGAATTTTGTCCTTTTCTCCTCAATTTCCAGCCTTTTCCTGGCAATTTCCAGCCTTTATTCCTGAATTTCCAGCCTTTTCTCCTCAATTTCCAGCCTTTTTCCCGGGAATTTCCAGCTTTTCCTGGGAATTTTGTCCTTTTTTCTCTGAATTTCCAGCTTTTCCCTGGAATTTCTCCATTTCCCTGGAATTTCTCCCATTTCCCTGGAATTTCTCCCATTTCCCTGGAATTTCCCCCTTTTTCCCCTGGAATTTTCCCCTTTTTTTCCTCTGGAATTTCCCTGGAATTTCCCCTTTTCCCCTGGAATTTTTCCCCCTTTTCCCTGGAAATTTCCCTGGAATTCCCCCAGAATTTCCCATTTTTCCTGGAATTTTTTCCCCATTTCCCCTGGAATTTTTTCCCAGTTCCTGGAATTTCTCCTTTACCCTGAAATTTCCCTGAGAATTTCCCCTTTTCCCCTGGAATTTTCCCCCCTTTGCCTGGAATTTCCCTTTTTTCCCTGAAATTTCCCTGGAATTTTCCCTGGAATTCCCCAGAATTTCCCAATTTTCCTTGAATTTCCCCCCCTTTTCCCTGGAATTTTTTCCCTGGAATTTCCCTGGAATTTTCCCTTTTCCCTTGGAATTTTCCCCTTTTTTCCCATGAAATTTCCCCTTTTTTCCCAATTCCTTGAATTTCCCCCTTTTCCCAGAAATTCCCCTGGAATTTCCCCTGGAATTTTTCCCCCTTTTCCCCTGGAATTCCCCTGTTTTCCCTGAAATTTCCCTGGAATTTCCCCTGGAATTTTGCCCCCTTTTTCCCTGGAATTTCCCTGGAATTTCCCCCAGAATTTTTCCCCTTTTTTCCCAATTCCTGGAATTTCCCCTTTTCCCTGGAATTCCCCCAGAATTTCCCATTTTTCCTGGAATTTTTTCCCATGAAATTTCCCTGGAATTTCCCTGGAATTTTCCCTTTTCCCTTGGAATTTTCCCCTTTTTTCCCATGAAATTTCCCCTTTTTTCCCAATTCCTTGAATTTCCCCCTTTTCCCAGAAATTCCCCTGGAATTTCCCCTTTTTCCCCTGGAATTTTTCCCCCTTTTCCCCTGGAATTTCCCCCCTGTTTTTCCCTGGAATTTCCCTGGAATTTTCCCCTTTTTTTCCCCTTTTTCCATGGAATTTCCCCCTGAATTTTCCCATTTTTCCTCAGGAGATGAAGGGGAAGGAGAGGACAAATCCCTGGATGAGGCAGACAAAGGTGTAAGTGTTCCAGGAATTCCCAAAATTCCCAAAAAAAACCCGAAAAATTCCGGAAAATCCCGGAATTTCTGAGCCCTGCAGCAACTCCTGAGCCATTTCCCACCCTTGGAAAATCCCAAAATTCCCAAAAAAAATCCCCCAAAAAATTAAAAAAAAATCCCCAAAAAAATCCCCCCAAAAATCCCCAAAAAATCCTAAAAAATCCCCAAAAAATCCCCCAAAAATAAAAAATAATCTCAAAAAAATCCCCAAAAAATCCCCCAAAAATCCCCCAAAAAATCCAAAAAGATCCCCTCAAAATTCCCAAAAAATCCCCCCCCAAAAAAAAAAATCTCAAAAAAAAATCCCCCCAAAAATCCCAAAAAATCCCAAAAAATCCCAAAAAAATCCCCCCCAAAAAAAAAAAAAAAATCCAACCCCCCCAAAAATCCCGTGAAAATCCCCCCAAAAAAATCCCCAAAAAATCCTAAAAAATCCCCAAAAAATCCCACCCAAAAATCCCCAAAAAATCCCCCAAAAATGCCCCAAAAATAAAAAATAATCTCAAAAAAATCCCCAAAAAATCTCCCAAAAAATCCTCCAAAAATTAAAAAAAATCTAAAAAAATCCCAAACCCCCCCAAAAAATCCCCCCAAAAATCTCCAAAAAATCCAAAAAGATCCAAAAAAATCCAAAAAAATAAAAAATTCACCAAAAAATAAAAAAAAATCCCCAAAAAATCTCCAAATATAAAAAAAAAATCCCCCCAAAATCCCCAAAAAATTAAAAAAAAATCCCAAAAAAATCCCAACCCCCCCCCCAAAAATCCCCCAAAATCTCCAAAAATTCAAAAAAAAATTCCAAAAAATCCCCTAAAAAATAAAAAAATTCTCCAAAAATCAAAAAAAATCCCTAAAAAATCCCCCAAATGTTAAAAAAAAATTCCCCAAAAAATCCCCAAAAATCCTCAAAAAAATTCCCCCAAAAATCCCCCAAAAATCCCCCAAAAATCCAAAAAAAATCCCAAAAAATCCCCCCAAAATAAAAAAAAAAATCCCCAAAAAATCCCCAAAAAATTAAAAAAAAATCCCAAAAAATCCCAAACCCCCCCAAAAAAATCCCCCCAAAAATCTCCAAAAAATCAAAAAAAAATCCAAAAAAATCCCCAAAAAATTCACCAAAAAATCCAAAAAAATCCCCAAAAAATCTCCCAAATATAAAAAAAAATCCCCCAAAAATCCCCAAAAAATAAAAAAAAAAAAAATCCCAAAAAAATCCCAACCCCCCCCCCCAAAAAATCCCCCCAAAAATCTCCAAAAAATCAAAAAAAAAATCCCAAAAAATCCCAAAAAATTCCCCAAAAATAAAAAAAATTCCCCAAAAAATAAAAAAAAATCCCAAAAAATCTCCCAAATATAAAAAAAAAAAAAATCCCCCCAAAATCCCCAAAAAATTAAAAAAAAAATCCCAAAAAAATCCCAACCCCCCCCAAAAAAATCCCCCCAAAAATCTCCAAAAAAAAAAAAAAAAATCCCAAAAAATCCCCCAAAAATAAAAAAAAATTCCCCAAAAAATAAAAAAAAAAAATCCCAAAAAATCCCCAAAAAGACCCCAAAAAAAATCCCCCCAAAATCCCCAAAAATTAAAAAAAAATCCCAAAAAATCCCAAACCCCCCCAAAAAAATCCCCCCAAAAATCTCCAAAAAATCAAAAAAAAATCCAAAAAAATCCCCAAAAAATCCCCCAAAAATAAAAAAATTCACCAAAAAATCCCCAAAAATCCTCCAAAAAAAATCCCCCAAAAATAAAAAAAAATCTAAAAAAATCCCCCAAAAAATCCCCCAAAAATAAAAAATAATCTCAAAAAAAATCCCAAAAAATCCCCCCAAAAATCCCCAAAAAATAAAAAATAATCTCAAAAAAATCCCCCAAAAATCCCCCAAATATCCCCAAAAAATCCCCAAAAATAAAAAATAATCTCAAAAAAATCCCCCAAAAATCCCCCAAATATCCCCAAAAAAAAATCCAAAAAAAATCCCCAAAGCCCCAAATTTGTTGGAATTTTCTCCCTTTGCAATTCCCAGAGCCTAAAAAAATCTGGGAATGGGAAAATTTGGGAATTTCCCCCCGGATTTGGATCCTGGAGGGGCTGGAGCCCAAATTTGGGGATTTTATTCCAGCTGGGATCAGAAATTTTGGGATTTTGGGACATTTTGGGGGAAATTTGGGGATTTTTTTGTAATTCTAGGAATTTTTTAGGAATTTTTGGGGGGAAAATTTTGGGAATTTTGCAGATTTTTAAGGAGTTTTTTGGGATTTTTTAGGAGTTTTGGGGGGAAATTTGGGAATTTTTGGGGATTTTCTTAAGGAGTTTTGGGGATTTTTGGGGGGAATTTTGGGATTTTTTTAGGAGTTCTGGGGATTTTTTTGTATCTGAGGAATTTTTAGGAGTTTCTGGGATTTTTTAAAGGAAATTTTGGGATTTTTTAGGAGTTTTTGGGATTTTTTTTTTTGGAATTTTGGGGATTTTTAGGAGTTTTTGGGGGGAAATTTTGGGGATTTCTTAAGGAGTTTTTGGGATTTTTTGGGGGGAAATTTTGGGATTTTTTAGGAGTTTTTAGGGGGGAAATTTGGGGGATTTTTAAGGCATTTTTTGTTTTTTTGTTTTTTTTTAATTTGGGGGATTTTTCGGGGGAATTTTTAGGATTTTTTTAGGCATTTTTGGGAATTTTTTTTTTAATTTTGGGGATTTTTTAGGGATTTTAGGGATTTTTTGGAGGAAATTTAGGAATTTTGGGGATTTTTTAGGATTTTTTGGGGGGAATTTTTAGGATTTTTTAAGGCATTTTTGGGATTTTTTCAGGGGAATTTTTAGGATTTTTTTAAGGCATTTTTGGGATTTTTTTTTAATTTGGGGATTTTTTTCGGGAGAATTTTTGGGATTTTTTAAGGCATTTTTGGGTTGGGTTTTTTTTGGAATTTTGGGGATTTTTTTAGGGATTTTTGGGAATTTTTTTTTTAATTTTGGGGCTTTTTTGGGGGGAATTTTTGTGATTTTTTTTAATTTTGGGGATTTTTTGGGGGAATTTTTAGGATTTTTTAAGGTGATTTTGGGAGGGGTTTTTTGGGAATTTTGGGGATTTCTTAAGGCATTTTTGGGATTTTTTCGGGGGAATTTTCGGGAATTTTTTTGAATTTTGGGGATTTTTTTGGGGGGAATTTTTGGGATTTTTTAAGGCATTTTTGGGTTGGTTTTTTTTTTTTGAATTTTGGGGATTTTTTTAGGGATTTTTGTGATTTTTTTTTTTATTTTGGGGATTTTTTGGGGGGAATTTTTAGGATTTTTTAAGGTGATTTTGAGTTGTTTTTTGGGGGGATTTTTTAAGGCATTTTTGGGATTTATTTTTTGGAATTTTGGGGATTTTTTTTGGGATTTTTTGGGACTTTTTAAGGCGATTTTGGGTGGGTTTTTTTTTGAATTTTAGGGATTTTTTTAGGCATTTTTGGGGTTTTATTTTTGAATTTTGGGGAGAATTTTTGGGGATTTTTTAAGGCAATTTTGGGTTGGTTTTTTTTGGAATTTTGGGGATTTTTTCGGGGGAATTTTTTCGGAATTTTTAAGGCATTTTTGGGATTTATTTTTTGGAATTTTGGGGATTTTTTGGGGGGAATTTTTAGGATTTTTTAAGGCGATTTTGAGTTGTTTTTTTGGGGGATTTTTTAGGGATTTTTGGGATTTATTTTTTGGAATTTTGGGGATTTTTTCGGCATTTTTGGGATTTTTTTTGGGGAAATTTGGCCCCAATTCCCCCTGGCAGAAGCTGAGCAGGGCAGGCCTGGGCTCCCCAAACTCCTCAGCCCCAAAAGCTCCAGAAAATCCCAAATTTTCCCAAAATCTCCCCAAAAACTGAACCCAAAATTCCCCAAATTCCCCAAAATTTGGATTCCAATCAAATTTTTCCCTTTTTTTTTCCAGGAGCT